ACAAATTATAGACACTTACACGAGACAACACCGAAGAACACAAATTTGTTATATTTACTTTATACGCAGATTGAGGCCAGCGGACGACGATGAATAATAGGATAACAGCAAGAACAACAACAACGATGCACGACGACGACGACGACAAATATTGTACATATGTACAGAGGATATAACGGCTCACGCGCACACACACACAGAGACACACAGATGTACGCGCGCGATTAACGGTTAGTCGGATATATAGAAACAGTTGACGCGGGGGGGTAGGCGGAGCTGTGCGGTGCTGGAGTCGAATTAACGCGACGGCGATTATGACAATCCGTTAACGGTACCACACCGGCTTTTTATGCGATAATAAGTAGGCAATGAATGCGTTTTCTGAGCATATTTTTCCTTGGTTTTAATTTTTAATTATTCAATTTTCCTTTTTTCACTTTAGTTCTGGCTTAAGTACTGTGGAAGGGGGAAAGAAACTTTATAAGATTGCTGTTTCTGATTAAAAAATTTAAGCCACAGAGAAAAGCTAATCCTTTATATAAATTTCTGGTATTGACATAGAAACTAATTCTTGAAATATTTAGTAATAATTTTTATTATACACCTGTAGGTATATAGCTTCTTGAAAATTAGTTTATTGTATTAATATGGATAAAATCATTTTTTAAGATAGTTTCATATATAATTCAAAACTTTATTTTGTAATAACAACTTTATTTTGTAATTTCAACAGTGAAAGTCTTAACATCCAGAGATATTCTCTTTATGAATCTTTTATTTTTTAAAATTAAAAAGAGTGTGCTTTAATGTTTACAGGGATTTCATAAGTTTCAATGATATAATATCTAATATTAGTTTTTCTATACCAAAAACTTTGAAAGTTCTACTGTAACTTTTAATTAAAATTTTTTTCTGCTTATTAATCTCTTATTATGACAACAGTACTTCAGTTTTTTTCGGTTGGCAACGCGCTGCGGACAAAGGACAACGACTGCAGAGAGATGCGAATGGGGATGCATAAGGCAGAGCGTAAAAACATTATGCGGGGGGTGTGCGTTTGAGAAGGAGGGAGAGTGTTCCAGAGAGCAGCTGCTCTCTTGCTCTCTCTGTCTTTTTCTCTCTCTCTCTCTCTCTCTTCCCTCTCTCTGAGTCGGTGTGTGGCCAATTTGAAACGCCGCGAGAATGAAATGCAGCGAAACGAATGGTGAGCACAAAACGTGGCCAGGAAAATAGAGAAATAAACAAAATATAAAAAAGGATAATCCAGCCAGGGAGGGGTGGGATAGAGAGAGCAATAGCGAAGGAGAGCGTGCGATAGTACCGTTCCATTGCCAAAACGTACACAAAACATAATACAAAAGCCCTGCTCTCCCTCTAACTCTCTTGTCCTCTTGCTCCCTCCCGCAGGATGGGTGCGCGCCAGGCGAAAAATCAATGAAAAATATGTGGAAAAATTGCCGAAATTGTATATTTTTTGGATTAGTTTAGCTGGAGCTTAAACTTTTTTAAAACGCAGATTTCGTAATTTCTGTTTTCATATTTTCTGCAATATTCTCCATATTTATTGTTATTTCCATTTTCAATTGACCAATTTTTGGCTTTATTATTGTTAAACACAAATAACACACTTACACTTGCACTCGATTGCACATGTTTCTAAATTGAGCAATTACTCATTAATTAATTAATGTACACAATGGACAAATTACTTTTCACAATTGCGCGACAAATAGTTTGCGGTGTTGGAATTTGTTTATCAACCCGAAAGATACTTTTTTATCTTTGTAGAATCTCCGAAAAAACAAATGTGAAAATATCTCGAAAAACAATATTTTTACAAGAAACCAAATATCGGTTTTTGGAGTATTTTCCCGGCGATTTATCCAATATTTTTGTTTTTCCTTATATATTTTGAGATATTTTCCAACCGGAGCAACGCGCTGCAGCAGCGCGGGCGTAAAATTTTCGAATGAAAAGAGAATTCGGTCTCGGATGGTACTTTCTCTGGCACTAGTGCGTTTTTCTGGCGTTAGTGAATTTTCGGTGGGATTTCTCTCGCCTCTCTCCACTCTTTTTCGGTATGCTAAGAGCGCGCTCTCAACCTGTAAAATTTTTTAACTCTTAACAGCTGGAACAATTAAATAATAATAATTTAGGAAGCAATCAAGAACAGTCGCAGTCAATATCGAGAGATCATTTACATCGATCTGTAAAGCTAAGGAAGACCTTTTTTTTTAGAAATCAAATAATCATAATAACAATTATAAATAACTTAATAAAAACATATTGTAATAATCTTGCGTAGTCTGAATTTCATAAAATTAAACAAGGATCATGTGTGTAAATAAAAGTAAAATTTAAAATAAATTTTAAAATTAATTAAACGGAAGACGTATTTATTTATTCATTCATTCATTCATATAATTTTCAAACTCAAATATTAAGGTAAAAATTAAAATTTAACGGTAATTTTAAGATACAAATCATTCTTACTAAGAGTAAATGAAAAAAATAAGAGCAAGGTGACCAAACCATGAACTCTCTCACAATGTGTTGGGAAAATACAATACAATAAGAAATTAAGTCTAGCTAGAGAGTGGCGTTAGTGCGTTTTTTGCAGGATTTCTCGCATTCTCTCCACTCTCTTTTTTTAACCTGAAAGATATTACTCTTAGCATGTAACATTTATTTATGTTTATGCTAACTTTTAACAGCTGGACAACAAACAAATTATAAAACGCAAGAGGAATCTAAATAAGTGCCGACAAAGAATCATTAAGATTAAAATTAGCCAAGCCTGTATAGCAAATATCAATAAAAGAACTTTAGTTATAAAAATCTTAACCAAAATGATGTATTTAATAATGACCCTAATATAAAAAATGTTCGAACAAAGACAAACAAAATTATTTTTTACCATATGACTAAATTTCGATAAAACTTATCGTTAGATTAATAAATTTTTTTTTAATATATTCGAGTTTCAATTGGAAAACCTTTAAGATATTTTTATAAAGAGAGACTCTATTTTGTTTTCTTTCTTCTCTTCTCCTACTCTTTAAGACTCCACCTCCCACCACAACGAGGAATATAATACTTTAGAACTTTTAAAAATAGATCGTTTTCCAAAATTTATTTAAATTTAAAAAAAATTATTAAAACAAATGCAAACAGTTTTTTTTTTTTTATCAAGTTTTAAAATTTGGCACAGAACCAAAAAACAATCCATAGAAAACTTCACAGAGAGAGCGAGGAAGAGTGGCCCTCTCCCATCGTTCCGCTCTCAGTGGGCGCGGGTGAGACTGCGCGTGTCAAGGGCGTTTGTGTACGATTTTTTATGGCAACGAACTCTGTGCACGTGCTGCAAAAACATAAACAAATAAAAACACACTCAAATTTCCACAAAAAAATATTTCTGTCACAGAAAACTATTTCAATGGGTTGCCTAAATTCATCCATGCCTATTTAAATGAAGTTAAGCCCGAATAACTATCAAATTGTACCGGTTCTAAGGCTCTCTCTTAAAAATCTCGCTCTGTTTTTGCCGGCCGTTTATATGTATTGCTTTATTTATAATTTACAACTGAATTGTTTTACTTTTGCAACTTTTTAGATTTAGTGTTTATGTATGCACAACTTTAATAATTAAAAGTTCCTTTTACACAACATATTTCTTATTTATTTTAAAGCTGAACCGCGAAAAAAACAACCAGAATGTTTTGTTGTAAAACACACGCACATATGCGAATGAAAACTAGTTTAATGGCGTTGCCACTAGATTTTTCAACCAGCGTTGCCAGGTGTATGCTAAGCTTAACATACTCGACAAAAAGCTACCCTACATACTATATATAATATATATCAACTTAGTTTTGACAACTTCCAATATAAATTATGTTTTTTTGTACTTGAAATAAATTAATCACAGCAAATGTACAAACATTTTTTTATATTATAACTGCTAGCATTAAAGAAAAATGTTTGGGAAATATTTCTTTAATTTCAAAATTTGGGAAAATACAATCTTTTAAACTTTAATAATTAAAGTCTATTTTAAAAAATGTACTTGTTAAGTACTAAAAAAATATTTTCACATATCTCCCCGACGGGGAATTGAACCCCGGTCTCCCGCGTGACAGGCGGGGATACTGACCACTATACATTCTACAACCAGAATGTTTTGTTGTAAAACACACGCACATATGCGAATGAAAACTAGTTTAATGGCGTTGCCACTAGATTTTTCAACCAGCGTTGCCAGGTGTATGCTAAGCCTAACATACTAAAAAAAAAACTAAAATTTATTTTTATATATATTTTATATTTTTTTTTTTTTCTCCTTTAAAAAATTTTTTTTTTTTTTTTTTTAAATAAATTAATCACAGCAAATGTACAAACATTTTTTTATATTATAACTGCTAGCATTAAAGAAAATGTTTGGGAAATATTTCTTTAATTTCAAAATTTGGGAAAATACAATCTTTTAAACTTTAATAATTAAAGTCTATTTTAAAAATGTACTTGTTAAGTACTAAAAAATATTTTCACATCGAGGATGTTGTTTGCCCTTCGGTCAAATATGCATTTTGATTCTTAGCATATGGTTTCTGCTACATTTTCACAGAGAAGAAGTTCGGAACGAACGAAAATGGAACAAACCCCTGGTGTGCCTTATTTGAAATAGGCAGTTTGACACGCTCGCTTCAACATCCTCGATAGTATAGTGGTTAGTATCCCCGCCTGTCACGCGGGAGACCGGGGTTCAATTCCCCGTCGGGGAGAGATGTAAAAGTTTTTTCTTTCCTTTTTAATATAAAATGTGTGTTTTATATTGAGAAATATTAAATCATGTTTAAGGGGAAAGATACTAAGTACGCCAGCAATCTTGAATTTATATTTGTTTTTTTTTTGAGTTTTTTATATTGTGATTGTTCTTTATAATCCGCTTGTTGTTTTAAGATCCCTTTCAGCTCTTCACCATTAACTAATTTGAATAGATCTTTGGGGTAAAATACAATTTATTTTGTAATATCGATCATAAATGAAGTACATCCGAATACTGAGTGAGTTGTTTTGGACAAGGTCTTTGCTTAGAACATAATACAGAAAACACTTAAAAAGTTACTAAGTCTAAGACATTTTAAAAAGATAAAACATGGACAAATGGGTTAACGAATAAATAATTGTCGAAAGCAACTAGTCCACCTGCTTGCCCTCGTCACGATTGCGTTTGAAGGATACGGAATGGATGAGCAGGGGTGGCAGATTTCCGCGCAGCATTTGGAGTCTCTTGCTCTTCTCCTTTTCGGGGCGTCGGAGTTCGTCCTTGGAGGATCCTGGCGAGGCAGAGGAAGAAGCCATTGATGGTGACATGGAGGCCAAAGAACTGGACCCCGGCAGAACCTCTGAACTCTGAGTCAATAACATGGCAGATCGACGGAAATATCGTGGCATCGAGTAATCATCTTGCGTGGCACGAGCTGCATTTGCCGTTTGAATCGAATACAGACTCTGTGATACCCTGTACTTCTCGATGGTGGGTGTGTCTTCGTAGTTCTTCGGCAGATTGCTAAACGATATCGAGGGCACCTCGGGCGTCATGCTGATCTGGCTACTTCCTGTCATCGTGCCACTAATTGAGAATATATCAGTTTCGCTAGCCGACGATCGTACATTCATGTGGGGAACGCTTTTGGCAGATCGCAGGATCCGTTTGGGCGTGGTGGCCAGACCGCTGGGATTGGCCAACAGGTGAGGATGACGGTCAATGAGGCGTGGTCGGAGAACCACCTCCTCCATGGCCTCCTCCTCCTCTTCGGCCTTCTCGTCTTCCTTCTCCTCCTCGGCAATGGCCTCAAATTTCTTGGGAGTAAGGGTCGTTTGGCTTCCGGAGGGTGAGCATTCAGCGGAACTGGGGGCCAAGGTGAATGTGATACGCTTCTCTGCCGATCCTGTCCTTGCATCCGTTGCATCACCTGTAAAAGGAAGAGAAATTTATTTAATGATAGAGTTGAACTTTATTTTTCTTTAACAAATAATGATACCCCGTTAAAGATTTGTATTATTTTTCCTGCTTTTATCTAGTACAAATATTGAACTTCCCTTCAAGGACTAATGCAACTTTTCCAGGTATTAATAAAAATGATTTCCGCTTAAAGAGTTGGACAAGCAGATGGCAAGTAAGTAACATAAAAGGTTGACAAACAAGATAATGGTTGAGTTCATGACAGATAGGAAAGATATGAGGGTAGATAATAAGGTGCCCACGACTAAGGCAGTAACTTTAGAGTGAGTACTTAAAACTAAACTAAATGCTTTGAAGACAACAACTACCTAAAACAGCTTAGATTAGCCTCTAGGGAATTTTTCTGAGAAATAATTCCATGCTATTTTTTTTTCTAATATATCTCTTTTTTTTCCTATTCCTGATTTTATAGTTTGTTTTTTTTCACAATAGATTGTCATTTATTGGCCAATGCACTTAGTCAGCGAGATACATTCAAGCATCAAACGATTAAAACCGCACGTTTTCTTTATCAGTAGAAAATATAAAGTAATCATTCTGATGCAGTCAATATTTACAAAGAATGTAATTTTGTATATCTTAAGGGAATAAGTACAATGAGTTTCGAAGTCAAGCAATTGTGAAATGCAAGTTGGGTTTACTAAAACATTTTAGATTATTTTTAAAATTATATATACTTTGATTTAAAGTCAACTTTAGAATTAATACATACTTAAGATATACGTACTTAATAAAAAGCTTAATATACTTTAAAAATAACACTAAATTTTTAATGATATTTTAAAAAATAAAGTGATCTTGCACTGCCTTTTTTTATAATATAAATATGTTTAACCCACAAACAAAAGTTATATTTTTGTGAATTTTATTGTCTCCTTGGTAGCCGCCAGGCACGTATGATGGATTTTAGTATCGTCAAGCCACCCACCCCGACAACAAACGTCAGCTTTATTCTAAACTGACGAAACTATATGACGGTGGTGGGAAATACACAGAAAACGGTTATAAATGTTGCTCTGAGGACAGGAGCTCAGCTGATGAATCGGAAAAGTCATTCGAAATCAGCAACAAAACGTGATGACAAGTTGTGTGTTGTTAAGATATCGTTATACACACGTATAACAATATAATTTATGAGTATAAATAAAAATGGAACAGCGAACAAAAAGAGAGCTACTTTCAAGGCATTTCTCTGAAATCAGGTGTTTTAATTGTTTATTATTTGGTCTTAAAATGATTGTTTTTTATTTTTTGTTATTGTTTTAAAGGCAAACTTTAGATAATCCAAACAAACAAGCAATTTAACTCGATTTGTTGGTTATAGAAATGCATGAACACCTGGTATTATAGGGTTACTGCTCAAATATATGAAAAATCAGAATTATATTCAGCAATAACCTTGTTAAACTGTTGCTCTGCTCCTTAAATTAAACTTCGACAAAGAGAAGATAATACCTAGAAGTTCTATAAAAAGAAATGCCAAGCCTTTGAGTTCTACAAATTTGACGGTTTCTTTGCAGCTTTTGTTTTATCAGCTCAGGAAAAACTGAGGAATCGATCGTTAGCATGCGAAAACTGATTACCAGCTCTGTTCCCTTATCTTATAAAAAAAAATACGTGTATTTTGGACAAAATCGGTAAATGGGTGTCACGGAATATAGGTAAGAAATAATCATATTCAATGGGTGTTTATTTGCTGTTAACATTTTTATATGCCATCGATAAGGAATTCGAAATTTGACTAATTGGGTACGGTTCTACTCAACTGCTGCTTTGGGCTAAATGGAGTACAGTAAAGCTGGCACAGTGATTAACCAATTTGCCAATATTACGATAAATCAGTGGCAGCCCTAATAGCCCATTAGATCATCTTCAATTGGGTATGGTTTTATCATTTTCCCAGTTGCGATAACCCAAGTGATGACGTACATTTCTGTTTCCTTTTTTTTTTGTATTTTTGTAACTTCAGATGGAACCGGTACCTTAGGGTGCTGGGTGCGTCAGTGAGAAATAAAATTGTTAATTAAATTAACTTCAGATCCAGATGCGGTCTTTTTCAGCTCTTCCTCGTTGGAAGTTTTGAATGAATGATTTTTTTTTTGTTAATGCCAAATGGGGTTAATGGATGTGCTGAGTGAAGATTGCGGAAAAATTTTACTGCATAATTATCATAATTTGATTAGCAAATATTAAATTTGCATTCTATTTGGTCTTGAAAACTTGTTTCGAAATAAAGTTTTATTTTATTTCAAATGGGTTAGACTTTTCTTTATTTTGCCTTTAGAAGTTTGGAGTTTTATAAAAAAATTAAGATTTTTTGACTTGAAAAGTGTCAGAAATTCCATCAATCAGAGCTTTCGTTTACATTTCAGCGAAATCTTTTTTAAAACGTTCCCTTGTGTGAATGTTTGACTAACCGATCTCAGTCTCAGGCAATTAGTAAAAGCTGTTGAGTAATGCCAACTTGACAAACAAAACAATTGTACAAAGTGCAAAAGTTATTTAGCTAAAACGTTGGTAAAAGCATGAGTCAAAGCCACGACGAACTTACAAGGAAAAACTTCATCCAAGTCATCAGCCCTAATTGTTTCATTTTAAATAGCAATTTGTTCTGAATTTATCAGTAATCTTATATATAAATAACTTTCACAATATGTAATAAGGGTATGTGAAAAAATCGTACAAATAACCTTTCATCGCTAAAGTGAAACCCAGGCGAATTGTTTTTAAAAAACTTTATGAAAATCATACTATTTACTAGTTCTTACTTACGACTAAACAATTACAAGGTCCAACAATTAAGACTTAAATAGAGTATGTTTAAGTTAACTTAAGTTAGACTACTTAAAAGTCTAGATAATACTAAATGCCAGGCCACACTGGCATTGTTGTCACTTTCGAATATTTTATATCGTTGTGTATGTGCGATATTGATAACGCTTACAGCTAATTAGTTAATAATATTAAGTCACATTTTGGCGATATTGGTCACTGTCTCATTGCTTTGCGAAAGTTCCTCAATCTTTGGCACAAATACTGCTTTAGTACCCATCGAAACCCATGAAAACCCAACGATGCTCAGTTCAGATAGAACTTAACCTTGGGAACACCGCTGGAAACGATGCTGCTGCTGCGGGTGCTCTTGCCGCTGCTTTTACCATTACCACCCAATAGTGGTGTATGTGCACCACTGGGGCCATCATTACCTTCCAGACGTCGCAGCAATCTATCTTGATCACTCAAACGCGGTGTGGTCGGCATCTCGCGATTCGGCGAATGTACACCAGCCAAATAGGTCTTTGTGCTAATCCGATTTAGCTTGGTTGGCTGATGATCCTGGAAGATCTGCGAATTGGCAAACACTGCCAATATCTCTGGTCCCAAGTTGGGAACATTGATCTGTGTCTCCCGACGATAGTCTTCCTCGTGGATCTTGGCGCTAAAAAGGTTCACAAAGGAGGGATATATATATATATTTAATATGCAAATTGATATGGCCAACAGTAAGGCAACACGACTTCGCCAATTAATCGCTAATCGTTAGCCATCCAAACAAAGTGCGAAATTCGATCAGGCTTTGATCTATCTATTAGTACCTCATTAGACTCAGGCCCAAGCTCGAGTTGCCTTGCCTCATTTGCGGCTGATCGCAAATCGGTTGGGGCACCGTCAACGAATTGTTATTATCCGCCGATGACGGCTGTATGCGCCCAATAATCTGGCCATTCTTTCTGGATGCCAAATAGTCCTCGTCATCCTCGGGATTGTAGTTGGCTGAAAGGAATAATCAAATAAAGAAATTATTTAATTAATAAGAAAACAATGTTAAGAACAATATTTTCATTTGCAGTGTAACGCTTTTAAATATTTATTTTTACATTTTTAATTTGTTTATTTTGATGATGTTAGCTAAATTAAACACTTAGCTATTATTTAAGCTTTACCAACAAAATGGGTAAATAAAAGCCTTTCTAGATACTGCTAAATCATTTTTTGTAGTTTTTTAAAACCAAAACATTTCTAGAAACTTCCAATTAAGAAAATTGTGAAATTTAATACGAATAAGTTTACTGCTTTCCATTTTTTAATTTCTTTTTAACATAAGGTCGTCGTAACTTTGTATAAATATTTATGTAAACAAACTCTTCATAGAGCTTTTCTAAGCCAAAACTTTATAAGCTACCCTACTACTATATCCACTACCTGCTGAATTTTTAACAAAAATTCCATAAAACTGATTTATCTTTTTGTGCCTTGTTTTTTTCTACCTTTTATGTACTCATACTCGTACTCGATTCCAAATGCCAAACACGTTAAATCGCGCAAAAATCGCAGTCGCATTGTGCGTTTCAAGATCTACATTGGGCTAGTTTTGTGAGTGTGTTCGAAGAGAGTGAGTTTTTCGAGGTACTCATACTCATTTCAGGTAATCGTAACCGTCAACTGACCAAAAATAAGGCTAAAACGTAAGAAACTAACTTACCGATCGATTCATCATAGCAAAAACGCTCCTCGAAGCAATTCCAGTAGAAATCTTCCCAACAGCTAGAAATGGAAATGGGAGGAAAAAAAACGCAATTCGGAATGTTAGCCAAGTAATTTGTTGGCCCGAACACAGAGCAAGCGAGAGGGGAAAATAGCGTTTACTCACTTTTGACAGCAGCGGCACATTTTCTGTCGTTGTTGTTGTTGTTGTTATTGCTGGCTTCCTCTTCCTCTTGCTTTCTTGAATTATTTTTTTTTGTTGTCTCTTCTCCGCCAAAAAAAAAAAGAAGAGAATCCGAGTCCGAAAATCGTTGGTGTTGTAACAATGCTTTGATTAATTTATGATTTCTGTTTGGGAAAAATAAATTCAATTCGGATTTGAGCGACGGCGACGAGTTTTTGTTGTTTTCGTCTGGGGGAACGTGCGTGTGACTCGTTCCAGAAATTTTGTTCAGTGGCAAGCGGTGAGCGTGTGGAGACAGCTTGACGTTTTATCGGCAAATGAAGTGGCCCACAAATCGTATCTCGCGCTCTGATGACCAGGCTCTCTCTTATAAGCGGCACTCTCCACCCAACTCTCGACTTTACACTGAGAAAAATTATTTTTCTTAACTTTCTTGCAAATCGCAAAAATGTATTTTTACATAAAAAATCTCTGAAAGGCACTTAGTTTTGGCAACCTAAAGAATTACTACAACAAATCCTAATCACTTTTAAATTTATAAATTTTTCCTCTTTGCATTGCATTTTTACTAAATAATTATTTTAATTAAATTAATAAATATTTGATTTTTGATCTATAATTATTAAATCAATTATTTTTTTGAGTGTACGTGTGTGTGTGATAAAAGTGAGTTGATTTGAGAGCTACCGTTCACGTTCACCGGAGAAGGCTCTCTCTCACCCACTTTATTAACTCATCTCTCTGGCAGCATGGTCGAGAGAGGGGGTGGTGGGCAGGTTGCGAGAGCCATTGATCGATCGCGCATGATAGATTACTGCCAGAGAGCAAAGATTTTGCGACAATTTTCAACTATTTCTCGCACTCTTTCTCTGTCCCGTTTGAACTTCGCCAGCATTCTCTTTTGCTGGCTCTCTTGTGCACTGTGGGTCAGGCGGCAAGACGCCTTCCCAACATTATCAGATTGAAATTGCAAGAAATTTTCATAATTTATGACCATCCGTTATCTCATTCTATACTTTTTTTTCTTAAATTCCTTTCGCGTTATTTCGCAGACGTTTTTAAATCTTAACGCGCAGTTTACGTAATTGGTATTTATTTATTTGGGAATAATAAATCAGCATTGTATTGGGTTCTATTTTTGAAAAGTCTATCACTAAAATTGTCAATAAAAATGCATCTTGAAATAATTTTGTTAATGATAATTTTCGATAAAAATAAAAGATATAAATCGATGACTTTGGGTATATTTTTTCCGTAATTCAACATATGTTCCTGTTATCGAAATAACTATTGTATTCAAAACGACAGAAAAATGCAGATATTTTATCCATTACGACCAGCTTTTGTCCCACTGTAACCTGTTGCTGTATTGTGACACCTGCTCAAGCCTTGCACCTTGTGCATGTGAGTGTGTAACTGTGAGTGTTTGGGCGTGTGAGTATCGGTGGAGTAATTGAAACTTTTTAAACTTGCACCGTTCACACACAAAGATAACCTCGCTACACATGTACTCGTGTTTGTCTGCCTGAGTTTACTTAACGCTTTGAACGATAAGCGCTTCTGCAAATTGAGGCCACATTCTCTCCATAGGTGAGTGGGCGTCAAGGGGGTTATTTGCCGTGGGTGGCGGGTGATGCGGATCCATTCAAGGTTCTTCGCTAAGCATACTTTTAGGCTGTCAGGAAATGTTCTTAAGTGCTTTACAATCCAGTTTAAAAACACATCAAGAGCTATTTTCTATGGTTGAGGATTTATTTGTTATCACACTTTTCACCTCTCTAAAATCTTATCAATAGATTGGTAATTCAGTTTTGTAAAGTCTTATCGAATCGATTGCAAATTTAGTTCTGTAAAACCTTATCAAAAATTATTGCTAATTGAATTTGAATGAGTTGATAACAAGAACTTTGCAATAAAAGGTCAACAAACTGAAACGTGCGATGGAAATTTCACAAGTTTCTGATTTATTACTTCAGAAACTAAAGTTTTGATTGAAATACTAACAAGTGAAACTCTTGGCTTTTTTTAGTTTTAATAGTTAAAAGTTAAAGGTTTCGTGAAGGTTAATTTAGAAACAGCTGTTTTTTTAGCTTCTTCTAGAAGAACTTGTAGACAGAATAGACCCTCTATAGTCTAGAGTCTTCCAATCAATATAGATTTTTAAGGCTTCTGTTAAAAAGATTAGATTTATCTCTGTAGGTCAAAAAACCTTACATAAGGCTGGAAATATTTTTTTTTAAAAGATTACTAGACATATGGAGTGCATGGCCATAACAACCCTTATCTTTATGTGAATCACACTAAGCTTCTTAACAAATAAACCTATGTTGCTATAAACACTATCAACAGTGGCTATTAAATCTGGTCAAGTGGGAATGACTAGTAGACATCTACCAAAAAATGACCAACTGAAACATAGTTAAAGACATTTTTCATTACCAAATTTCTTGTTTCTCAGGCCACCGTTTTTTGGTTTATCTCCAAGTTCATACTTGGAACGTAATCTCTGAGTGGAGATAAGTTATTTTCCCAAGTTATTTTCATTTGATTTGAAGGTGTGAAGACTTAAATCATAAGTTGACTTTGCAAATGTTTACTTGTTGTAAAGTAAAGTTGATCATAAGAAAAAACCGAAGTTTGAACATTCAACAAGCTTTTCCAGAGTTCAAAGACCATAGCAAATCATGTGACAATCGATCAATTGATTGTCTTTTGATAAAGCCGTAGATATATTCATAGCATTCAAAGCTTTCGGCGACAGTTGAATTGAAAAGCGCTCAACACTCATTAAAGTACGTAAGATGTCGTGGAAAAGTTGGGGGTTGGGGCTTGCGAGCTGAGGGGGGTTGGGCCATCGGTAATTGAATGCCAATCAGCTGAACTGAAATGAATAGCAGTCATTTCGTTACAGCCTTTCCGTTGTTACTGTTACTTTAAGCCATGTAATGCAATTTGTTGATGTTTACACGTTTTGTGCGTGAAACTAATTTCAACTCGAATTTCGTTATATAACAAAAATTGAGGAGGGGTAGAAAAATAATAAAAATAGGTAACAAAACTAATTCCATGGTTTTTATCGAAAACCCGAAACTAATCAGGCAGGGTTTACATTTTCCATTTTATTTGCGGTTAATACTCCAAAGGCTAAAACGTATTTAACCTTTGGGTGAGAACCTTACTTTATGATATTTAACGTATTTAACGTTTAAATATAACCTTTTGGTGAGAAACTTACTTTATGATATTTATTGAGGCATAATTAACTACTGCATAAGGTTTGGCTTTTTAAAAAATCTCTATAAAAATGAATTAAAAATTATCTTGACATAAATTTCAATTACCTTGAAACAAGTCAAGCAACTTTTGCTGAAGCTAACTGAAAAATAATAATAAAAATGTGTAGGCAAAATATTGCCCAGCTTAGTCATAAACCAAACCCTTTACCAAGTCATTAATTAGGCTAAGTAATTAAAAAGCATTTAACAAAAAAGTCATTTTCTGCGATTAAAATCTTGTTAAATGAACTGCCAAATCATTCAGAATTTTATGGCTTTCACGTTTCTTTATTCTTTTCATTGCTGACCTTTGAACTGGGCCAAAAATCGGGTTGCTTCGCTGATTTGACAAAACAAAATCGCATGTAGCAGGTAAAAATTTTGCGGGCAAATAACTTCCGCACAAAGTGCAAAACAAAACAAAAGTAAAGCTCCGAAATTGCGAACAATAACAATCGGATTACAATCGGATTACAATTTCAGGAGTCACTCAAGCGATGCATGCAATGCGGTGAATTCTTTCATCAAAAAGCTGAAACGAAACTGAATTTTGTATGCATAGCCCTTTTTTCATAAATCAGGTAAATAAACAAAGTAAACTGATATTAAAAACCATAAATGATAATAATAATCTATAAGTTATATCCTCTATGTTATAACTATAGTATCTAAATGAATGTTTTTAGTTAATTAACTTTTCGTATACAACATCAGCAGCTCCTCTCCTCAAACATTTTACGACAACAAAACGAGTTTTGCGGCATTAAAATGTACGTATGTACATATACTATATAATTATACAATATAATAAACTTCGAAGTGAACATTATCTAGAATCTCTCACTGGAAAATCACCAAAAAGTTCAAAAGCTTAAAAAAGTTGGGGTTTTTTTTTGCATTTGCAAAAGAGAAACTTGTATTTTTATCAAGTTGATCTATTATATCTATTATATTATTCATTATTCCATTTTTATCGTTAGCTTGCTAAGTAGAAATTCAAATTGAGTTCCCACTTCATTTAATTGAGCTTGGCATTGTTTGAGGTGCAGACAAAGCTAAAGTTATTTATGTATCCATATGGATGTACTCGTATGTAAAATATAAATATATAAAAAATACACAAAGACAGTTTTGACTGCAATATATAAGTAAGTTATAATTAACTATTTATAAGATTATTATTTTAGTTACAACAAATAGATAGCCAACTATTGATGTTTAAAAATCTGTTTAAACACTTTTCATTACAAAAAGTAGCTGAAGTAGAAGTTGACATTTGTATGATTCATTTATAAACACCTTTGATTTTTTCTTTAGTTTTATTATCTTTTTTTTATTGTTATTACAACGTTAAGAAATGTTTTTCCTGTTATTTCCCAAAAACTTTCCCAGCACCAACACGTGTTCCCAAAAAAAACCTTTTATTATCACTTTGTGTGTATTTATATCTTAATTTGATTTACGAGGCTTGAGTTCGATTCCCTCAATATTGGAAATGATATTCCCATCCCCCCGAATCAACAGATGACTGTTTGATGTTGACTTTTGGATTAAATGTAAAGTGTAAATTACAATAACCCGTCAAATGAAATCATTCACACACCGTGGAATTTGCCTCTATAACTGACCAGAAAGATCGAATGCAGGTGTCATTAACCGCAGCCAGGCTTGCAGCTTGGATATAACTTATGTATACTATACAAAGATACACATATATATAACGCTCTTGGTTCATGGTAAACTAAAAACCTCTGACGACAAGTGGCGTGCATTGGCCTCGTTTCAGTTTTTAGGCTTTGACAGGCATCAGACATCGGCGACTGACTTGTATTGCCGATCAAGTTGGACCTGCATTGCCGTCGAGTTTCTCTTGGCAACCGAAAAGAAACCCCTCTCAGCCTATCGTTTTCGCAACTGCAGATACGTTCTCGAATGTTTTTTTTTCTTTCCTTATATGTATGGTCATATATCATTTTTTAGAGCACGCGCATCGTTTTGTTGATCTTAAAAATTAGTATCTCAAGCGTAATGACGATCACAAATATTTTCAATTCGTGTCTGTCGGCTCCACTTTCTGCGTTAATAACCATTTTGTTAACATTAATGCGACTTAAGATGAAGTCGGAGGAGAGATGATTTATATTAAATGTTGCGTGAAAGAGTTTTCTTTTCAAAAGCTTTTCTGTTAAGTTAAAGAGCAGTCAAGGAATATAGAACAGGTTGTTATTGGATTTAAATAAGATTTCGTATTATAAATTATTGCAGAAATATTACTTTATTTAAATGAAATTAATATTTCATTGAGAAAACCGGAATATAAAAAATTTTAAAAATAAAGATTAATAAAAATCGGGTTTTTAAGAGGCAAAACCAAAAATAATTAAAGGATTTAAATTATTAAATCGGAAGTGTGTATAGCAATAAATGAGAATTAAATTTTTTCTAAGGATTTATAATAAGTCAAAACCAGAACGATTAAAATATCAGATATTTACTAAAAAGTTCTCATTGATAATGGTGCCTCACCTTGATGCGCCACAACGTTTACCGTAATCAATTAACTACTTGATGGGAGCTCTCAATCCAATGGCATTTTTCATGCTTCACAGAGATAATGGCTCCGATTAACAGCAAAAGTTCCCTAAATTGTTTACTCACTAATTGACTAGGGAAAAAACCTTGAAAATAAAAGCGTTTCCAGCTTAAGCGGAAAATATTTTACACGGATATAGATCTGTTCTGTGGAATTACTGATCACTGATTCCCATGACATTACATTCCCTTTGTAAATATGCCTAGTACGTTTTTATTTAATGTATTTTTTTTTTTATGAATGAATGCATTTTATGTAGGCGATCCTCGATTCTCGTTAATCGGCTGCATTATTTCATTGTGATCTTTTCCAGTTCCGCGATTATTTATCACTGCTTGTTGTCTCAGGTGAGTGAGTCACGGTTGTCTCATAAGTATTTTTTACTTGAATCATTTACTCAGAGCACGTCCCTCGTCCAAGATGCTTCCTTAAAATACATTCCATGTAGATATATGTACATATGTATATATATAGACGCTATTATCTCGGCCAAATCTGCCAAGTATATTTGCCAAGTATTTTGTTTGTCAGTCCATTTGCTTCAATTTTTATCAGTAATCACTTGATTGTTCATGACTATATAGCGCTGGCACTAAAGATACGTATTGTAGTATCTCGGAAACTTGTCGATAATGCAAGTCCCAGACAGTTCTCAACACTCGACCGATCACCAAGCTAATGCAACGCTCGATTTTGAAAGGCGTTTGACAAACTTTGATTTCGAAGCTTATGGCTTTACCATATATGATATGAGTATTTTTTTTTGGTTGTTTATGATAATAGATAAGATATGACTTGACGAAAGGAAGAGTTTTGGAATGTTAACTACGAAAAAACTAATCGCTGGGATCTATGTAATCAATCATGATTGTAAAGCATGATGATTAGAAAATATTGTGTTAGCTATATATTATTTAGTGTTATACAAATATTTATCATTTCGGTGACCATTTTTTTAAGCTTGATATGTCTATATATATATAAAATATATTTACTTTGTATTTTAAATGAAAGTATTTTTAATATTATATATTGAACTTTTTGTGTTAGAATTTTACTTCTATCTTTAAGCTCTTTAAAAACCTCTCCCTATCGTGATTATAAGACATGCAAATACTCATATTGACAAATTAGTATTTATGGAATATTTAAAGGGATTACTTCTAAGAAATCATGACTTGAAATCAATCCGTTTAAGGGTAGATATATTAGCAATCCGAATACCGAGAACCCAAAATCTGTGAGTCATAGAAGAACGTACAGCTTCAAAGTTTTATATGGGCTGTAAATTGTTTATTTGGAATCGTATCGATGGCGTTAAAGTGTTAAATTGTCCACAGTTGAGAAATCCGGTATTTCATAATTGTTTATTTACTATATAGAAACATTTTTTGGACGAGACACATGACAAGCCAAGACAAATCAAAGTGAAATAAATCGCAAATATCGAAATGAAATTAAGCATTGCATTTGCAATACACAAACACAGGCGCACATCAAGTTTTTTATACAAATGCCTTATGGGAGGTATTGTTGGTGTTTCGCAGAATTCGAGAAAATCCCAGGTCTGAGCAAAAACCGGAACACCAAGTAGAGGAGCAGAATCTCCTTGCAAGGCGCCAAACGGTTATTTCCAGAGAAAGAAAGAGAGTGCAATAAACTGCAGCATAAATTCTTATGCTAAATAATTGCCGTCATCGAGTTTTTGGGGGTCTGAAAGGGGGATCTATGTGTGTACTTGTTCTTGGAAAATCACGAGGTTCTCTGACTCAGGGTCAACAACGTGTCGTTCAGTGTATTGGATTGGGCTTATTTTTATTTAATTCTTGCCTGTATGGGTGTATTCAAGTGCGTTTTCAATTACAGGTTCTTAAACAACGCTGTTTTTGTTGTATATTACTTTTTGTGTTTTGATTTTTTTCCACTCTCACAAGACGTTCACTTCACAGACTTTTGGTTGTTGTTTTTTGGCTTTTCCAGCAGCTCCTTGCGATTATTATAAAACTTTCAATTACAACTCCTATTCAGAGGCACTTTCTTTTTATATATTTATCTTTTTTTATTGTGTTAACTAAGAGTGATATTTCCACGGAGAACCGATGCCAAAAACCGCGTCACACAATTTAAATAAAAAACAAACTTTGGCGTGATCACGCTTTACACGCGAAATTGTCAAAAAACACTTCAAAACAAGCAGAGCTCGCCGATCGAGCCAGCATATGGTGCGCGCACGTCTGTCGGGTTCAAATATCGTCGGCTGACTGCGAAAAACCGGGGACGAAACAACTCCACCAGCCCCCAACAACAAAAAAATTAAAGCAACAAAGCACCACAAGGCAACCAGAGCTCCCCAACAAATCCGATGGAGCATGAGCATAAGCTTTCGGAAGTTGTTTTTCAGACACGAGACGTTCGTGTCGCTGATTAAAGATCTGACCTGGGCTACGACCTGTCGAAAATTGTCGAAAACTTTTAAATTGATGGTTTGCCTTAAGACGTGACCATGATATTGAAATGTTTGAAAAAAGTTACCTGAATTTGAAGAAGTGCTTTAAAATGGAATTTTAATTATTATCCGTTTAAAAATTATTTTTTATAATTCGGGATTAAAGTCTTCTAATTTCACATGAAAATGAAAAAACGAATTTATCAATGATTCTAAATATTGCCGCCAATCCAAATTTACCTAATAATGCGACACCTCTATATTTAATATCGATATTTTTGAACTGCTTGCAACATAACCTGCTTGCTTCCTAAAAGGTGTAAATTAAATTTTGAGAATATGTTTTATATATTTTGATAAACCAAGCTTTCGACTGATCATCCATTACGTTCTTGTTAGGTGTTAAAATGTTTCCCTTAAAATAAACTTAAAGCTCAAGTATTTATGGTGTTTTTAATATATATATCTCAAAAGGAAACATACAAAAATTTAATGAGTTAGCCTTGACATCAACTAATCACAAATTTCTACTCACATAATAAAATCAAAATTGTGATATGGTTAGATATCTTATAATAGAATATAGTAATATACATTGTTTTTAGCTCAACAACTACCGCATACCGACGCCATCACCAATGCATACTGCTTTATCGATAGCAAAGTCTTTGTTTTGGCCATCACTACCACCTATCGAGCACTCGATACTAGGGCCTATCGACCTATTTTCAGCAGCCTAAAGAAAAAAGGCAATATTTTGCGAAAAACAGTCGAAACAGATCAAAAAACACCCGCTTCATTGGCCAAAGGACATCTCTTTTATGCAACGCAAAGAGAGGGCAAACCAGACAATTGCAGTGTAAGGCAAATGTGCGCAAAATGAAAGTGACAATCAAGTCATGGACGGGAGTTGCAACTTGGCGTTGGATAGCGAATGACGAGAACTGCGGTATTTGTCGCATGTCCTTCGAGAGCACCTGCCCGGAGTGCGCGCTGCCCGGTGACGACTGCCCGCTGGTGTGGGGTGTCTGCTCCCATTGCTTCCACATGCACTGCATCGTCAAGTGGCTGAACCTGCAACCGTTGAACAAACAGTGCCCCATGTGCCGCCAGAGCTGGAAGTTTAACGTGCATTAAGCGCATGTTATAGTTATAATTATACTAAACCCTTGAGAAGATCACCAGCAAGAAGAAACCGTAGAGAGACAGTAAGCTTTATCAAATGATGGAGAACAGTAGCAGCGATGCCCAGCCGCATTTGTCGGGTCTACCACCACTGCCAAAAAGTCTTAGTTCCGCTACGGCGGCTCCCGTGGCCATTGGCCCACATCCGCGCACAGCCTCGCCGGCGTCAAGTGTTTCAGCTCTTACCGCAGCAGCAGGAGAACTCTATCTGGGCCCCTCCACTTCCTCGTCGGCGGCGGCATCCAGGAATCGCAGTTACAACGGACATGGACATAGCCAGAGGCACGGGAGTCTCTCCTCCACACAAGAATCCCTCAGCGATAGGGAATCCGTGCACAGTCGCGCCTCCAGTACACAAAGCGCTGGAGCGGGTCACACGCCCACAAATAGCTCGAGCAGTACTGGAGCCACTTCGTCCACTATCGACAACCAGCTGGCAATCCTACGTAGGGAGATGTATGGCTTAAGGCAGTTGGATCTGTCGCTGCTGTCGCAGCTGTGGGCTCTTAATGAGTCAATACAGGGATTCCGGGTGTTTCTGCAGGAGCAGGATGCCCTATCGCCGCCCTCAAGGTCTCGCACGCCTTCGGATGCAAATTCCTTGAGCTCGGACGAAGAGGACGATGGCTCCTATGCGCCCGTGACTTTGCCCAAGATGACGGATGCTGCTGGAGGTGGTAGTGCTGGTGTTGTGAGTTCCAGGGCCATGGCTTCGCCGGCAGCCAGCGGAGGTCTGCCCACCAAACTGGCTACTGGGTCTACCACCTCCCACGCCTCGACTAGTTCTACTTCAGGAGCTTCAGGCTCCTCATCGGCTGCATCCTCGATGGGCAAGCACCAACAAATGCAGCAGCAACAACAGCAGCAGTCAGCTAACCACTACCATCAAAGGCCAGCGCCACCACCCGCACCACCAGCCCAGCACAAGGCTCATCCGCAGTTGCCCAGGATCCTGCAGCAGCGCATGCGACAGGCACCGCCTCCGCCGCCACCCACGAGGCAGAAAGGAGGCAGCACTAGCAGCAGTAACCACAGTATCAGCAGCGTCACTCAGCAGCATTCACATTCAAACCAACATCCCCAACATGCCCACCATTCGCGGCCGGTATGACAAAACCCGTTCTTGGACTAAGCCAAGTTCAAGAACATACGTAAATTGAAATAGCAGCCGCTGCCAACGTTTCGGAAAGGGTCAATTAGACGACATTTCTCCAAGAGTCAATTCAAATTCAGTGCAGAAAGATCACCCCCACATTTACTCTATCATCATCTCTCACCTCATAAAGCTTGCCATGGTCCTCGTTCTTGATATTGAAACAAAAAACATATGAACGGTTTATAAATGTTTTCCGCGAAACGATGAAAATGTGTTTGAATGTAAGCGTAAAAGTTTTCACGTTTAATATTAAATAATAAACACAAGAAATTTGTATTCAATAATAATCGCTAAGTAGTAAAGGATAAGATCCTTATATGCATCTATGTATTACTCAAATTGTATAAACATAAATTTAAAATGCTTGAAATTCCGCATCGAATTCATAGATCTAGTTCTATTATTTGCGTTGACTCTGAAATGTTTTGTTAGAATGCATACTATCCAACAAAAAACTAAATGAAATTGTTCCAACTCATGTAGCACTAACCAAAACTAAACTCTTGGCCTATACATATGAATATCTGGATTGATTTTATAGCCCTGTTAAGTCTTAGTTCCGATATGGCGAAAATATCGGAAAATTATATTATACGAACATGTATCTGCATCTCAAAGCAAAACCTAGCTGATCTTACTGTTAGTCCAATAATCCTATCATTAAAACTATGAAATCTAGGCATATATATGTAAAGCTCAAGTATTGGAGCAAATCCCCCGAGCAGTTGTACATTGCGTTTCAGAACTATAAGACAATTGTATACAAGTATAATAAATAGTTCTGTATATCAGAATTGAAGGAAAATTCGAGGTATATACATTATACTTTTCGAAAGATTTTCGATTGATTGTACATTTTCCATATTGGTTCAAAAATATTTATTCCCTAATTAATGGATAACTAGATTAGATATAGTCCATTTGTCCTATAGCTTTGAAACGCATTGCATATAATATTTATATATTAAATACATATACAATTTTTACAGCATAACAGTTTAAAAAGCAAAAATTGATGAAACGCATTAAATACTATCGAGTATTTCCCATATCACAAACATAATACGGGAGTTTGCAAAATGAAACAGGATTTACATATATTACCTAATCAAAAAATTATACAATTTCCAATATTTATTGTTAGTTCTTAGAATGTTTTATTTCTCAAAACAAATTCCTTATAATCTCTACTAAAATTAAAACACCTTATAAAGTTAAACGATTGGAATTAAAATCCACACGATCATTATTCATTGTTCTTTATTTTTCGACTTCTCACAAACAATTCTTGAAGAAGACTTCAAATCAAAATCTGTGGAAATTTGATATCAACTAGATCGCTGAAACATCGATATATTAGCAATATACAAATACACAAGCGCAAAAAAGAAGCATAGACTTTAGCTTTGAATATCTTGGTTAAAATATATCAGACAATACTTTATCGGACATTTTATTAACACCCTTGGTAGTTACAAGGCTAAGACCAATATCCTGAAATGATTAACTAAATAACACTTATGACGCAAAATATACAAGTCACTTCTCTCAAGCCGATTTTTTATATTTTGGTTCAAAACAAAATTCTATCAAAAATATATTTTATATAAAATTAATTTAGCTTTATATTTTAAAATTATATAGCATTCTAACACACATTCATTTCATTGCTATTCCGTATTTCCAAATATGTTTATTCCAATGTGTACTAGTTTATTCTAGTACAAAATCGTTCAATATGTATTGCTTGATTCTGACACAATATATAATATTTTAACCAAGTTATTCAAAGTTGCATCAAGCTATAATCATCAAATAAATTTGAGATGAACTTTTGAAAGCTTTTGCTGTGTACAAAAAATGCAAGCACGATATCGAAAATTTACACTGACCGAAACATATACAACGTTGTGGTTGAAATATATCCACAATTTACGAAAAATATAATTTATAAATTTTTCGTTTCTGATGAATGATGCTGATAATATTGATATCGTTAAAAAGTGTATTATGTAATGGCAATTTATTAATGAAACGAAAGAAACGATACGAATGAATCGATACAATAAATATCAATTTAAATATCATTGCAAAATTATGAAATTAATTACAAAGGTCTTAAAAGTGTTTATTTTTTGTTCCTAATGACAATCTAAACATATTTTTTTTTGCGGGTCTCAATGACCTCAAGTCAAATTTTTTTATGGCTCAGTCTAGGTGCTGAATGTTCCACAGCAATCAGAAGGAATCTCTGTAAACAGAAAGGTATTTGTATTTAATATTCATATTGTCATCATTATCAAAGAATACTTACTGTTTGTAGGTCCCCAACCCAGTGGTACTCCCAGGCGACTGTTTTCTTGCTTGAGCCACTGGTAGAGTGGGTCAAAGTACTCTAATAGAGCAGCCGGGTCCATTTCTGTCTCGCCCGTGAACTCCTGGAGAACTTCCTTCCAGTGACGAGAGTTGCCATTGGAGAGGAACTTGCTTAATGCTCGACCAGCAGCCTTGCTGCCAAAGATATCACAGTTGTCCAAAGTTAGGCGACTATCATTGGGATCATATTGTCCGGCCTTGCGGCACAGGGCCTTGTGGAACTGAAACTGGAAGATGTGGGCGGCAAAGTAGCGCAGGTATTCCACATCCGCATCAATATGATACTTGGCTGGTGGATCAAAGTCCTTTTCAGTGCGGAAAACTGGTGGCTCAACGCCGCCAAACTCAGAACGCATCTGCCAGAAGCCGCAATTCCATTGAGATTCATCTAGTTCATTGCGGAAAACGGCATAGCGATATTTATCCACAGCGTATCCGAAGGGCAAGAAGACAATTTTGGAGAGAGCCTGCTTGAACAACTGATTGATTCGACTCTTCTCGTCTAGTCGACCATTATCTATCAGCCCAATAGCTTTTAAGTGTTTTGCGGACATTACTGACAACGCGATGACATCGCCCACGGCCTCGTGGAAACCAGGATTAGGAGCACCCCGATATACAGCCGGTTGCTGTTCGTATTGCAGGTAGTACTGGATGTGTCCCAGTTCGTGGTGTACAACATAAAAGTAGTGGGTGTCTACTTCTGTGCACATCTTGATCCTCACATCGCTGTCTTGGTAAAAGTCCCAGGCGGAAGCATGGCAAACCACCTGACGATCGTCGGGACGGGTCAGAACACTTAGATTCCAGAAACTGGGTGGCAAAGCCCGCATTCCAAGCGACTGGAAGAACTGATCACCAAGCTCAAAAAGCTTCTGAACTGTGTATCCCTGTTTCTCCATTTCTGCCTTAACGTCTACAAAAGGCTTCTCCGGGTAAGGAGTGAAGAGATCAAGCAGTTCGTTCCACGATTGTCCCCACATATTACCCAGCAGGCTTATAGGGATGTTGCCTTCTGCTGGCATCACATCAGGGCCATAGTGCTGCCGCAGACGGTAGCGTACGTAGCCGTGGAGCTGCCTGTAGAAGGGTAGAAGCTGCTTGAATGTGGCGTCCAATTGGTTCTCAAAGTCAGCGTCCTCATAGAACTGCACCCAGTAGTCGGCATAAGAGCGGTAACCTAGAAATTGATAGTTAAAGGAAAGATTTTAATTTTTTAATAGAAATTTTTTTTCAATATTCAATATTGACTTCACAATCTGAATCAAAGTCTACAGAATTGATAACCCCTACTGGCCTATTATTGAATAATTATATTGTATGCTATAAGTTATAGATGTGCATTACGTAGTATACAATTTTAAGAAAACTTACGAGTTGGTTTTAAGTATATACAAAATTTTACTACGATACAGTTCCTGAAATAATTTGTAAATACAATTTGAGCTTAAACTTAAATTATTTTTTAAAGCTTTAAAACCTATTTCTGCTGTATAACCTTAATAATTTCGGTGGAAATCCCACCGCAATGCTTTTCAGTTAAAATTTTTAAATAAAAAGCATTAAAAGTTTCTTATCAAAATGTTAAAAATAGACTTGAAGAAGAAACAAATACTTGATATTTTTAATATGTTAAAAATAGATCCTTGAAATCTTATCACAATGTTATTTATATATAGACAGAATATATAAATAAGTTAGTATATTCCCACAGATAAATGTCGAATAGATAACCCAATTTGAATACATTTTCTCCCTTGGCTAGCTAGACAATTTCCCTCGCTCCCGGCCAGACATCGGGTTATCAGGGTTCATCACTCACCGTTTAAATGGGACGCCTTGCGCGTTAGACGCACGTACTCAGCGAAGTGTTCCCGCATGGGAGTTCCAGCCTTATCGTACCACTCCCGCCAGTACCAAGCCAGTTCTGCAGGATCTCGACCGTGGGACAGACGCTCCTGGATGTGGGGCTCTAGGGTAAGGGAGCAATCAGTTCGATTAGTGTATGAGCACACTGTGACTGTAGCATAGTTTGTCTGCATAGAACTGATCGCGTTTTGCAGAGCCAAGTAGTCATCGGCATTTAGCGCGGAAGCACCCAGTTTGGAGAGATGCTCAGCTTGTCGGCGTATATCCGCATCCTCGGACTGGATATAATCGGATGCCTTTATCTGCTGGGCTAGGCGTTTATTGAGCTCTGCACTGCGGGCATAGATCTCGATCATGGCCTGACGGTTCGGCTCCGTAACATTGGTATTATAATTATAGCCAGACAAGAACTCCTCGTGGAAACGCTTTCGCAATTGTTCATTTTCCAGTTCGAAAAACCTGCGAGCCTCCATAACCGAAGCCGAACAACTATTGCCCATAGAAAGTCCATGGGGTAGCTGGTAAAACATATGTATGTATATATTTAAATATAGAAATAAAAAGAATTCCATGAGGGCTTAGTATAAAATACTTACCCATAACATCAAAACTAGGCATAAGACTGTTATGTTAAATTTTCCCATTGCTTTAGCGCCTTTCCCGGGTCAAGCCGCGCTTATCAGCAACTTTGCACTTTGAATTTTTAGTACTAGAGACCCAAAACCAGGACGTATCAAAACCAGATTGCTATGTCTTCTCGGCGCTGCTGTGAAGCTACTGAATTCTCGATGCGCTGGAGAACTGTTTTTATAAGAGCGTTCACTGGCACCCACATAAATACGAGATAAAGCAGTTCACAGTGCTGCCATTTTGGGGACGCTAAAAATATCTACCATTTTAGAAAAATACATATAACTGATACGATACTCTTTAACTTGTGTGTAACTTGTTAATTTATATTTTTAAATTAAATTAAGATTAAATTAAATATGTTGTGTGTAGTCAAAAATCTTCAATATAAAAATATGCTCATTTCAATGTATACATTTTTCGTTTTCATATCTTTTGTTGGATATTTGTAATAGTTTTTGTTTCTTAAGAATATTTATAACAATATTTTTAATTTTATAATGATTCAACCTTCCAAATTTGGAATGACACATATTTATTATATTTACATTAGTTTGGTTATGGTATTAAAATAGCTAAGCTAGCATCACTAATACTTCATGCACTCTCGATGTCGATACAAAGTTAGAACTGCTTGCAGTTTCGCATTCATTTACAATCACAAAAGTGTGCGTGTTCCGAAATTTTACACCTGCCCGCCAATCTACCTGGTTGTTTATATATTTTTTGTTGCCGTCTTCTCATTATCCGTGGCTTGAGTACCACTCAGCTGTTGAGTGCATTGCTAATGGTATTCTATATGGTAGTAGGCCAATCTGAACTTCTGACCACCGATTATCCAATATTTAAATTAGAATTTGTACAACCGATAATAGGAATACAATTTGACGATTGAGTCTTAACCTTCACTAATGTCAAAGGTGTTTAACCACTCGCTTTGTTTACACGTTTTTTAAAAAGAAAGAGTAATTTTTACATGATCTAGATGGTAGACCATCTTTTCTCAACCTCTGATTTTAGAGTTTGGAGGGCAGTTGGATTCAATGTTAAATTTATTTTTTTCATTTTTCATAGTAGTTATTCAAACCCTATATAAAATTTTAAATTTTATTATTTTCAATATCAAAGTACATAAACATAAATTAAAATAAAAGCGTTTTCTACACTATAGTTTTAATATTTTATTGTAAAGGTTAAAACGGAATGAAAATTAATAAACAGGCGCCCATTGCTTAATTAAATTGTTAACTAGTATTATATAGCAAGGGACTTTGTTACCGAGGGCTCCAGAGTTATCTCTAAATTTGTATAATATTGATTATTAATAAGATTGTAAATATACCAGATAAATTTGCCTAAAACATAACACAGGACGAGTTGAAGGGAGCGATGCAATAAGTAAAGTCTGGAAAAGATAGATGAATTATTTAGTTTCTAACAAAACTAATTTATTCTACCTACCTGAATAATCTCCGTTTAGCCTGTTCCATGGTATCCCAAGACTCCTTGAAGAGGTATAGCCGCATTCCGGTCAGAATTCGGTCAAAGTACTCCACCCAGTTTAGGCTTGCCATATCAAAGGGGAATATTTTTCTATCCTCCGGTGACATAGACTGCCACATATTTTTGGTGTTATTCGTATCCATCAGGAATGTTTTATTGTTAAATGGGAACAGTAGCACCAGTGCTTCGTGGATCTTGTGATAGCTCTTTATCAGGATGGGCTTCTTACCTTGAAGGCGTAGGAGGAGATCAAATATAAAACCAGGAAGCAGATGATAAAATATACAGCCCAACTTAAAAAGCCAAGCCCATGTGGTAAAGTGAGCAAATGGATACCAAATCGTTTTGGTGACCGGAATCTTATGGTTAATCTCAATGCCCATCTTTATAGCTTTTCCAAAGGTTATTGGATTCGATTTTTCCGGTGAAAATGTGTAAATGGGCGGCGGATTCCGTACCGCCAGATGAGACGACGATTCGGCCACTTTCCATCCGGAAGCCAGGGCCACGTTAGCGCAATAGTCGCCAGGAACTACCAACGCCTCGGATTTCGGGTTGACATAAAGTAGTCGAAGAATTCCGAGGGTGTTGCCGTACATCAAAGCTACCACTCCGTGGAGGTTGTCAATCCAACCCGACATCGGTTCCTTGAAATTAGCTAAAACTTTAAAGGAAAAACATTTACATTAAACTGGGATAATATTAAAACACACTTACTAATAGCAGGACGAAAAACGCAGATAGGGAGATCCTTAGCCTCCATCTGGATCACCTGTTCGGCAAGGGCCTTAGTATATGTGTAGGTGTTTGGGAATTTGCCCATCAGTGCTGGAGCAAACTTATCCATCAGCTCTGGTTTCAAAGTCTCGTTAAACTCAAGCACCTTATTCGCCGGGCATGTCAGGTGCTCCGGATAGAAACGCTCCTGGATATGATTTGATGGGCAATTCGAGAACGCAGTGGAAATGTGCACAAAAGCCTTTAGGCACTGCATTTCCTTCGCCAACTGAATCATTAAGCGCGTGGCACGCGTATTAATGTTTAAAGCCTTGTGGAGCGGTTCTACAAAACGAATAGAAGCGGCACTGTGAATGACCACCTGGACCTCGGTGGTTAGTATCCTTCGATCCTCATCGCTGAGACCCAACCCTGGCGCGCTGCAGTCCCCTGGGATCGGTGTCACCAAATCCAAGGCGTCCCGCTTGACCTTAAGAAGGGTTTCAAAAACCTGCAAAAATATTCATTCAATATTCGTTGTAAATTTGCTAATAACCCAATAATAACATACCAATTCACTTTTCCATGCCTTGAATCGTCCTTCCACATTGTCGTCCTTTTTGGGTCTTACCAAAAAATATATACGTTTCACATCTGTGGAGCGCAATAGCTTCTCAATGATTACTGGAAACAAGTTAAAATTAATAATTTGAATTCAATTCTTGAACTTCCTTGTAAGATTTTTTACCTTTGCCCAAAAATCCAGTACCTCCGGTTACGAAAACCGTTTTATCTCTATAAAAATTAAGAATATCAGTCTGCATTTTGCAATAGAGTGATATTATATCCGTCAAATCGGCTACCCAAATGACCGATTCTTTCTCTCTTTATTCCATTTATATTGGAATGCTAATGGACTTTTAGTGTGCACTATTTATTGGTCTTCAATTATACATACAGGAATTTATCTATACATTTCATTTTATTGTCGTAGTCAGTGCAATGTAGTCCATTACGAAGGCATTGGCAGTGTTAAGCCTGGAATAACATGGTGGTTATTAATCTTTTAATTGAATGACTGTTTAAATTCAATATTAATTATGTTTTTTAGTGTATATTATATTGCTTTTCGATTTTAAAAAGCCCTAACAATGTTTAAAATTGTGTTTATTTTAGTTTTTAATAACTATAGAATCCTTTAAATCACTTTAACTAAAAAGCGACGGCGTCATCTTAAATACTTAAAGAAGTTTAAAAATTATTTTATGCTTCCCTACCCCAATATCCGAATTTTTATTGCAACTCGTTATAACCAGGAAGAAATTAAATTCTAATCAAATTTCCATTTTATCGCATGAAACAAGGCAAATATGCATTATTCATTTTATTTCACCAGCTTAGTGTGTGATAACAAAACAGACGTGAAAAATTAGGTTAATACAAAAACCAATGCTAAAGCAAAAGAAACAAGGAATAAATCTACATATAGCCAAATGAATATCATTCATCCGATTAATATATGGGAAAACTAGGGTCCACACTATTCGTCCAGGCGTGCAGTCCGCCAATCAGGTCACGAACGGAATGCATGGGGAATCGATTGCGCACATGCTGAACGGCGATCTGTGAGTCATTTCCCCGACGGCACAGCAAAACAATGGGCAGCTCCTTGTCTTCCAGCTGCTTGGGGAAACGCTTTAGGTAGCTATCGTCCAGGATCTCAACCAGCGGCACATTCACAGCATCTGGCAGCTGGCAAATCTCGAACTCAGCCGTAGGCCGCACATCAATAAGCAGATGTGGTTGTGCTTGGAGCTTTTCGTGGTACTCTCCCACGGATAGGCGCTCGTCCGCCGTCAGCAATTGCAAGGGATTGTCCTTATCGGTGGCATGCATCCCGCAAAACATCTCGTAGTCGATAAGCTCCGTGATTAACGGCTGGGCGGAGCACACGTGACAGTTGGGTCGCTTGCTGCGAATGCGAATGTTTCGGAATATTCCGCTTGTGCCATCAAAGATGAGCAGGCGTCCGGCGAGGACATCGCCTAGTCCTACAATCACTTTAATTGCCTCCAGTGCCTGCATGGCTCCAATTGTGCCTGTGACAGCGCCCAGGACTCCGCCATCGCCGCAATTAGTGACCGCTTCTGGGGGCGGAGGCACTGGATAGATGCACCTGTAGCAGGGTCCATTTCCGTAGCTATAAACAGTAAGTTGACCATCCATCTTAAGTGCGCTTCCGGAGACAAGAGGTTTCCTAAGCATCACACAGGCATCGCTGAGTAGATAACGTGTGGGGACATTATCGCTGCAGTCCAGAACCACATCGTAACCACGGATGATGTGCATGGCGTTCTGGCTGTAGAGTAGCCTTGAATGGCAACGTATCTCGCAGTGAGGATTTAGTTCTAGCAGAGCAATCCTGGCCGACTCCGCCTTAGACATGCCACATCGTGCCTCTGAGTGCAGAATCTGACGGTGAAAGTTACTGCGCTCCACCTCATCGTAATCTATGAGTCCCAAGTGGCCGCAGCCAGCTGCCGCAAGATATTGTGCCGCTGGACAACCCAATCCGCCCAGGCCGACAATCAGCACGGAGCTGCTTTTCAGCTTGAGTTGACCTTGGACCCCGAAGTCGGGCAATATGAGCTGGCGGCTATACCGAGCAATGTCATCATTGGTCAATTTGGTGTGGATTGCCCTTTCTGGCAATTCCAAAGCATTTTCCTCTATCTGATCATCAGCTCTGGCTGCAGAAAAAACTGCCGCCTCCAGTTCTCGCAGACACTGTTCCTTCCTGTTAAGGGCTCCTCGAAGCTCGGCGATCTCTCGCTTCAACTTTGTCCGCTCGGAATCTGCCTCAGATTCAATCATTAGATTGCTGTGTTAGTCAACAGTAAATGATTTAATTTAAACAAATTTCTTCGACTGCAATCAGCTGATTGACTAACGGCTATCGCCGGTAAAAATCGTGTCTATCGATAGATGATACAAGTAAGTCGTTAAATATGACTGAAATATTATTTTCTTAATAGTAATTTAATGTATATGTCATCTATTCTATATAATTGCTTGATATGGATTAAATTTTAATTTTATATACTACCCCAATTAAAAAAATATTTGTTTTGTTGATACTCTATAACGGCATTTTCGGTATCCATTGATTTATCGATATCTTAACAAAAACAGCTGTTCTAGCCGTGTTTTTTCACCCATTTCCAGAGTGTGTTTACAATTATCTAATCGTGAATTAAAATAAAGCCATGTCCTGGCTTGGAAGTACAATTCAGAAAATCGGCAGAGCCACGCTCCTGGCAGTGCGTGGGAAAACATTAGCTCCGGTGGCATCAACAAGTCCCATCGTGCGGCAGTTATCCCATGCCGAGCGACGAGCACGCGGTCCCACTGTGCGGCGCTATGGCTACAAGGAAAAGATCTTTACTGGTGGATTACTTCCCCATTTGGATAATGGACAAAAGCTGCCCATGCCCGTGTACCGCCCGAAGAACGCCTGGTCAAAGAAACGCGCTCTATTTGGACAAAACGACTACATCGACATTCTCGGCAACGACCGACTGCATCCGGTGAAGGTCCTCTACTCACTGCCCTCCTGGTTACGAGGCGTCTCCGGAAATGAGTACCAGGTACTGCTCCGAAAGCGCAGACTGCTCGAGAAGTCCAAGTATCCGATTGCACGGCCCACAAAGTGGCGGGATATGGAGAAGCGCATCCTCTACCTGTACAAGTTCCTGAACCGCAAGACCAAGACGGGATATTCACATCAGTAGATCCATTAAGATCAAATAAAATGTTTTGTTTTAATCTGATATTGTTTTGACTTCACTTATCTTAAGAGTATGCCGGGCTGCCATTGGACAGCACATCCCGCATCTGTACAAAGTTCCTGGATTCTACCTCAAAATGACCTGATACTGTTAATGATTACTTCAGGACTATCCTTGCTTCCTCGCCATCAATCAAAATCTTCTGGCCATTGAACAGACAGAACTCGCGTTTAACGTGAGCAAACAGCAAATCAGTGATGAGGAATATTTGACCGGTTGAGAACGCTAATGTGGCGCCAAAATAGAAGTTCGCATTTGCCGAGCCCGCGTAGATCCACAAATGCCAAAGCGCTCCCATCATGGACAGGGTGACCAGGAAGAATGTAAAGACTACGAATCCATGTGCCATGACTGAAATATATTACAGATTATTTTTAGTAATATTATATTGTAAACCGTATTGAACTTACATTTCCAGCACCGTTTCCATAGAGGGAGCAAGGCCAAATAAAAACCTACGTCGCCCAGGCTAGGGTATGCTCGAAAAACTGCCATGAGGGCTACCAAAACTGTCGCTAGCAGCAGAGGCTCCTTGCGCAGCTTAATACTAAGTGGCACTAGATATAATACAGTGGCATTTAACTGGAATGTGATCAGGAACATGGTGCGGAAGTGCTCGAACATTTCGGTGAAGAAATACCAGAACAGGCCAATATTCGGCTGTAGGTCACGGAAGTAAAAATCTGTTAAATATATTAAATTGTATAATAATTCGGAAAATTAGATAAATGTAATTTTTTAAAACTCACATGAATCCTAGAGTGCCATCTAAGAAGTTCCAACTTTTCAAAACGAAAAAATTGGCTGCCGCTACTAAGAGACAACTGACAATAAAAAGGAGTGAAATAACCAGTCCCCTTTTGATGGAGTTCCGTGAAAAAAAAGTAGAAGTGGAGCTAGCAGAACAATGGGATAGAAGCTACGGACGGTCTCAAAGGCCAGAACCAGAAGGCATGGAAGCAGTAGCCCTTTTACCAGGCAGTAAAGAAAGAAAGCCAGGAACAGATTGCTTATCACGGTCGATGTCATCCCGATGCAGCTCATCACGGTCAGCGGATTGAACAGATATGCCACGATTACCAGTTCCGGAATGTCAAACTTGTCCGTGGCGTTAAACTGCAGTTCCTCCGTATCCTTCGCGTATTCCTTTCGCTCTACATTTTGCTGGTCGTGCTTTTGCTTTACAAAACGCAGGCTCATCGCATAAAGGAGGGCCGCAGTGAATACATCCAGTATAATATAGAATATGGCCAAAAATTGCGGGTAGTTTTGGAATAGCCCAGAGAGAGCGCTAAGGATTAGCGGCGATTCGTGGACCAGGTCGCCTTGATAAGGATCAATGCCACTTTGCAGCAGAAAGATCCCTTCTTGCACTGCAGAAATAACAACCATTAGAATACATATATATACGTGATGTGTACTTTGTTTACTCACTGCGCTTGTGTGAATTCAAAGGCGTCGCGAATTCCACTCGGTTGCCAATCATCGAGGCCAGCGGGGTGCGGCAGAAATAGAAGCGCACGGCGCCGCCGAGGAGAAGCAATTTGAAGAATTTCGGATCCATCTTCTAATTGGGCATAGTTTTTAGGAGCGTCTTCGGACTCCACCTAAAAAGCCGCCTACAGCTGTGATTATCATTAGTGGTGGCAACGGCTTTCGATATATTCTCGACTTTCGTGTTACGATCTTTCGATTCCAGTCAACTGAGTTGTCCACTTTAGCTATTTTTCCCACTCATGTTTTTTAAAACTTTTTTGTGTTTGTCAGAATTTTAATTTATTTAAAAATAAATGTATAAAGCGACTTTCAGAACGCGTTTAATATTGCAAAAAAAAACATATCTACATTCAATATATGTTTTTAAGAGTAAAGAAATTGCTCCAAATGGGCTTGAAAATACAGTACCAAAATGTACAAACAAATTTAATTAAAGATAATTAAGAAGAAATGGAACTTATTTTTAATTTATTTCTTTATTTCCCGAAAGTCGTGATAGTTTTATGAATAGGCTAACAAACCTTACTTTTTCATCTCTAACTATCAGAGCCATCTCTAACCGCCTTGTTGTTTTTTGACCGCACTTGCTTTGTTGAATTGTTAAATATTACATTAATTGAAAAGGCTAAGAATTAAGTATTTAAAATGATTGGAAATAAAAAGACGAAAAAGGCGAATGTCTTTAAGGAAATTGAGGAAAACTTCGACCAGCTGACTAAGAATCCGGAGCGTTTTCTCAAGTTTGTTTTCCTCCTAGAGGCGCGCACGTGTTTTTTCAAACGAATTTTAAACAATTTTTATTTTAGACCCCAGCCAGAACAATTGGAGGCTATTGAGCAGCTAATCCAACAGACATACGCAGTGAGCATCAGCGGAGATGTGGAGAACAAGAAGGCATTGCTACCAGAGCTGGTGCTCGAACAAATGGACGAGGAGCAAATATGGCAGCAACTGGAGATGCGTAACGAACTGGTGTTCCAACAACTGCTGGAGCAAACCGCAAAGCTTACGGCGATGCGAGAACAGCACCTGGGCATTGAACTGGATGACGGCGAGGAACAGGAGGATGAAGATGAGGAACAGGACGTTGACGAGTCAGCTGAAGAGGAACAAGAACTGGATTCAGACTTCAGTGAGGAAGAAGGCGGGCAAAAAAAGCACACCACATCGCCAAAGGATAAAAAAAATAAACGAGGGCGCAACTCTATAGTTGATGATACCTTCTTTAAATTGGACGAGATGAACGAGTTTTTGGAGCAGGAGGACGCCAAAGAAATGCGACGGTTGAACAGCAAGCGACGTGTGGAGCAAACGGATGATATAGACCACTATGCAGAGGATTTTGGGCTAGGAGACGATGAGGACGGAAATGTCAACTATGCAGATTTCTTCGATATGGATGATGAACTAAAAGAGCATGCTAAGAAGGCTAACAAAGGCAAGCAGAAAGATTACTTTAATGAAAACGAAAACGAAAATGACCAGGAAGAGGGTGAAAATCTAGAAGAAGACGAGTTCGGTCAAGGCGAAGGAGAAGAAGACAATGCCGATCCTGAAGAGGACCAAGATGAGGTAGCCAGCGAAATAGATGAATCAGAATTTGTGGCAAAAAGTGGGATAGAGCCCGCCAGCGATTCAGAATCAGACTCGGAGAAGGAAGAAAATAATCAGGAAGCAACCCCACCTCCCTCCCAATCTTCCAATGAAATGAGAGAGGCACGTTTGTTCCAACGCATACGCGACTACGAAGACGTTGTACTGGGCGAAAAGCCATGGCAGCTGAAGGGTGAGGTCAAAGCAGCCAATCGACCCCAGAATTCGCTCCTTGAGGAGATTCTCGACTTTGACTCCACTACTAGACCTACGGCGCCAATTACGGAAGAGGATAATCGCTCTATTGAGGACATTATTAAACAGCGTATTCGTGACAAGGCCTGGGACGATGTAGAGCGTACAGTGCGACCGGTGAACACGCCACAAGAGTACCGCAAACAGCTGGTGCTTGATCAGGAGAAGTCAAAACAGTCTCTGTCTCAGATCTACGAGTCGCAGTACCAGCGGGAAATGGAAAAACTCGACCCCAATCGCGATGCTGACGATAAGTCGGGCCCGGAACCCAAAGAACACCAAGAAATTAGAAAGGCAATGCGATCACTTTTCCTCAAACTGGACGCTCTTTCCAACTTCCATTTCACGCCGAAGCCAGTGGCACCAGAGATCAAGATCGTGACCAACACACCGGCAGTGCACATGGAAGAAGTGGCACCGGTAGCGGTAAGCGATGCCAAACTTCTGGCTCCGGAGGAAGTGTTCCGTGGACCCAAACATGCTCCTCTTGGCAAGACGGAACGCGATCGAACGGACAAAAACCGTGAACGCCGCAAGAAGAAACAAAAGCAGCGTGCCATTAATGCAGCCTTGGAGCAGCGGGATCTTCAGCGCGCCAAAGAGGGCAAGGCGCCGACGAAGAAGGAGGCAGACGCCAAGCTGCTGAAGAGTATCACCAAGAACCGCAATGTTCAAAAGGTAACTACAATCGTTACTGATGTAATGTTTTTATACTTTGTTAGGCAAAGACTTATATATATTAAGGAAACTAGGATTCTGTTAGAAAATCTCTTGATAAAGTTTTCGATTTTCGAGTCAGTTTTTTTCCATTTCAAGATAATTGCTGCTTAAAATTTAAGTACTTTTCAATGATTTTTAAAAACACAATTTGCTTAGCTCAACACAACTTATTCGTCAACGAATATATCATAAATTAAGTTAAATATGCAACTTCAAAGAGTAAACAATAAATTTTAAATTTCTTATCCCCAGATCAATGCAAACAGCAACGACAAAGGAGCTCTGAAGTCTTCCAAGGCGTTCTTTAACAAACTGCAGGACACCACAGCGGCCACAGCTGCTAACAAGCGACCGAAAAAGGATCCCTCTAAAGCAAATGCCAAGAAGCTGAAGCTTTAAATGTACACTTTAAGACTCCTCCAATTGCCTTCAGCCAGCCAATTTTTTTGTTCTCCAGTCACGTGCCAGAAAATGGCCACAAATGCACACACAACCACAAAGGATTCCTGTTTGCAAGAATAACTTAGGCAGGCCCTGCGGGTGCAGCAAGTCCATAATTTGGGGCTCCATGGGAGATGCCAAGCGGTCGTGCTTTTAATGTTCCATGTGCGAGTCTCCTGCGTAAGCATATGTGTTGTGTGGGCGATTTTCATGTGGACTGTGAGTCAAGGACATTCGGTGGCCTGGTGATGCGATTAGGCACGCGTGTAGTGTGCGGAATATGACTATTTTTAGAATTATTTACTTAAAATAAACTGTTTGCTATATAAATAGAATCCGAAGAAGTAGCCATTTGAACTATTTTAGAAGTTATTTCGGAGTGGATCAGCATTATAATGGAGAGGATTTGTATGTTTTTTTTATATGTTAAGGTATTTTTATTGCTTTAAAGTTTGTCTCGTGGGTTAATTATTAAGTTTACTTTCTTTGAATACAAGAATATAGTAACTAATAATTTTATAATTTTAAATAGCATTTAGTTCACCACGATTTACTGGACTCAAGTCGAACCAAATGGTAAATCTACTACTCTTTAGCAAATATCCCCACCACAATGGCTCTTGTTATCGATATTTGAAAACGGATCCTGTTAGCAAAGAAGGATAGTGGAATTTTTGAAATTCTCACTATGGGTGCTGCTGAGGTTACAGTAAGCTAAGGAGTTAGTCAAGGTAGTTGTCTGAGTGCAATCCTCTTTAATTTATATACAGCTGAGCATGACAGTATTTTTCCAATACGCTTCCTTATTCTCTGTCCACACGAAAGATTTCAGTCGACAAATTTTTTTAAAGTACTTGTAACAATAAAAAAAAATGGCAAACTATAGTTATTTCTTTACTTAAAGGAAAAATAAAAGATTTAAACGCAAAAAATATGGAAATCATCTTCACGGATGGTTCTGTGTCGGAAAATTTTACAGGTAGTGCTTTCGTTCACTTAAATTCCAATTCAATAGAAAGTTTCTACAATGAACAAAACAAAAATCTTAAATTTGAAATCTCTCACACACATCGATAACATCATCATCGCTCATCGTTCATCGTCATCGTCACTTAATCCTCAAAAACTACTGCACGCTATTGACATAGCTGTCTATTAAATTTTGTTTTTCTTGACCCGTTTTTAACCCGTTCCAACGGGTTTCCATCTACAAGAAAAAAAATAATATAAAAACAAAGAAGAAAAAACAGTCCATATGAGTAAATATCATATCTTGGTGAGCATATGCAGCCCCTATATTGACACGAGCAAATACAATCGACAGAACTGACCGATATTAATCGTTAAAAGCCAAATTAATCGCAGTTCAATTGTATACTTAGGTTTATTTGAACATTGCTGAACGGTCGCACTTCTTTACAAACTATAGGACGAGTCGCATTTATTTTTGTTTTTCATTCTCTTTGGTTCCGCGTTTTTCTGCATTTTAAATACGCAACAAGCCTCTGCAAGGACTATACACCTAGGATGTTCCATAAAATATACACGATGCATTGAAGAGCTTCTAAGCAGGGAGCGGGCATAAAGCCCATTGAAATTCATAAGGCAGCGACTACTTAATGTTTTTTTATTAGCAAAGTCAATATTTTATTTTTCTAAGCACGACGAACATTATGCAGATGTGAGTGATTCGCCTCAGGCAAATGGCTAAGCAATCTAAGTTATATAGCTAATTCTAACCTGCAGGAAGTACACGGGAATCGAACTGTCCATCTTCTGCCTGTGGGTGGTCGCAGAAGCTTCTGCCAGTTTGGCCAAATTTGGGAGCACAACGCCAGTGAATTCGCAACAATCAGATGTTGAACTGGAACTCATCAATGGGACACTTAACTATCGTCTTTATGCCAAGAAGGGTAAGGACGATAAACCCTGGTTCGATGGCTTGGACAGTAGACACATCCAATGCGTCCGCCGAGCTCGCTGCTACGCTACCTCGAACGCCACCAACACCTGTTTTGGCTCCAAGCTGCCTTACGAGCTGAGCAGCCTCGATCTCACCGATTTCCACACAGACAGGGAGCTGAACGAAAAGCTAAACGACTACTATGCCCTTAAGCATGTTCCCAAGTGCTGGGCGGCTATACAGGTGAGGAATCTTAATGGCATCTAATGAGTTGATCTTTTCAATAGAGTCTATATATAAATCTGTTGATTGTTAAAATATTTTCCGATAAGGAGATTCATTAAAAATCTATTTGATAGTGAGTCATTTAAATTGCGACTTACAGACTTAATTTTCCTTTTTTATTGTAAGAGTACAATATACAAATCCTTAACTGTGTATATGAAACCCAGATTAGTTTAAATTACAACAATTCAATCTTTTGCAGCCATTTTTGTGCGCCGTCTTCAAGCCGAAGTGTGAAAAAATTAACGGTCACGACATGGTCTACCTGCCCTCGTATGAAATGTGCAGGATTACCCTGGAACCCTGTCGAATTTTATATAACACGACCTTCTTCCCAAAATTTCTTCGCTGCAACGATACTCTCTTTCCGACGAAATGCACAAACGGAGCGCGGGGAATGAAATTCAACGGAACTGGCCTGTGTTTGAGTCCTTTGGTTCCGACAGAAACGTCGGCCAGCTATTATCCTGGTATCGAAGGTTGCGGCGTGCGATGCAAGGATCCGCTGTACACCGATGATGAGCACCGACAGATCCATAAGCTGATCGGATGGGCTGGTAGCTTATGCCTACTCTCGAATCTTTTTGTGGTGGCAACATTCTTTATCGATTGGAAGAATGCCAACAAGTACCCGGCTGTGATTGTATTCTACATAAATCTGTGCTTCCTAATTGCATGCGTGGGGTAAGCTCCGAGTATGATTTTCAATAAACCTTAATACTAATCTATCTTTATTTTGCAGCTGGCTGCTGCAGTTCACGTCGGGATCGCGGGAGGACATAGTGTGTCGCAAGGATGGAACACTTCGCCACTCAGAGCCCACGACAGGAGAGAATCTCTCTTGTATCGTGATCTTTGTGCTGGTTTACTATTTTCTCACTGCTGCAATGGTTTGGTTTGTGTTTCTTACCTACGCCTGGCATTGGAGGGCCATGGGCCACGTTCAAGATCGCATTGATAAAAAAGGTTCCTACTTTCATCTGGTAGCCTGGTCACTGCCTCTGGTTCTGACCATTACCACAATGGCCTTCAGTGAGGTGGATGGGAATAGCATTGTGGGCATATGCTTTGTGGGCTACATTAATCATCCGATGAGGGCAGGACTACTTCTTGGGCCACTCTGTGGAGTGATTCTCATTGGTGGCTACTTTATTACCCGAGGCATGGTTATGCTTTATGGACTGAAGCACTTTGCTAATGACATCAAGTCAACTTCTGCGAGCAACAAAATTCATTTGATAATCATGCGAATGGGATCATCAGCGCTGCTTACTTTGGTTTTTATACTGGTGGCTATTGCTTGTCACGTTACGGAATTTAGACACGCAGAAGAATGGAGCCAAAGCTTCAGGAAGTTTATAATGTGAGTGAATATTTTTGATTCCTCCTTTTCATTTCTAATATATATACTTTTGTTATGCAGATGTAAAATTTCTTCCGTTTTTGAAGAGAAAAGCTCCTGTCGAATTGACAACCGCCCCAGTGTCGGCGTCCTTCAACTCCATTTGCTGTGTCTGTTTAGCTCTGGAATTGTTATGTCCACCTGGTGCTGGACACCATCTTCAATTGAAACTTGGAAGCGGTATATAAGAAAGTAAGATTTGCTGCGCTCGAAAACTGATTTTGACTTATTTAAACTTAAATTTATTTAATCTTTTCTGTAGAAAGTGTGGAAAGGAGTTGGTTGAGGAAGTAAAAATGCCCAAGCACAAGGTCATTGCCCAGACGTGGGCCAAGCGCAAGGATTTCGAGGACAAGGGACGGCTCTCCATAACGCTGTACAACACTCACACGGATCCTGTGGGTCTCAACTTTGACGTAAACGATCTAAACTCCTCGGAGACCAATGACATCTCCTCAACTTGGGCTGCATACCTTCCGCAGTGCGTAAAGCGTCGCATGGCTTTGACGGGAGCAGCGACAGGTAATTCGTCAAGCCACGGACCGCGAAAAAATTCATTGGATTCGGAGATCAGTGTGAGTGTTCGTCACGTTTCCGTTGAGTCTCGTAGGAACTCGGTGGATTCCCAAGTTTCAGTTAAAATAGCTGAAATGAAGACTAAAGTAGCATCCAGATCAAGGGGAAAACATGGTAGCTCCTCGAGCAACAAGAGATCTCAGAGGCGGAGAGATTACATAGCTGCTACCACTGGTAGGACCAGCAGGCGAAGAGAAAGCAGTACTTCAGTGGAGTCACAGGTAATAGCGCTCAAGAAAACTACTTATCCCAACGCTAGTCACAAAGTGGGCGTGTTTGCCCATCACAGCTCCAAAAAGCAACACAATTATACAAGCTCTATGAAGCGAAGAACAGCGAATGCCGGACTTGATCCTTCTATTCTTAATGAATTCCTGCAGAAGAATGGCGAGTTTATATTTCCATTTCTCCAAAATCAAGATATGAGCTCTAGTTCAGATGAAGAAAACTCGCGCGCGTCTCTTAAAATTCAGGATCTCAATGTGGTTGTAAAGCATGATGAACTAAGTGAGGATGATCACGACGGAATTAAGATTGAAGAGTTACCAAATAGCAAGCAGGTGGCTCTAGAGAACTTCCTTAAAAATATGAAAAAATCAAATGAATCCAATGGCAATCGTCATTCTCGCAATTCTACAAGAAGTCGTCAGTCCAGAAAGTCCCGCAAGGCCCATCCAAAGACCACTGATCTGCAGCTCGATTTTAAGAGGGACTATTTGAGGGATCGCCCAAATGAATCAATCAGCTGCTCTTCTGAGGAATTGGACGTGGTTTTAGATGTGGGCAGCTTGCTAAATAGCTCCTATTCCGCAATATCTATGGGCAAACCTCATAGTAGGAATAGCAAAACCAGTTGCGATGTGGGCATTCAGGCTAATCCTTTCGAGTTAGTTCCCAGTTACGGAGACGAGGAGCTGCAGCAAGCCGTGCGACTCCTAAATGCAGCCAGCAGGCAAAGAAATGAGGCAGCTAATGAAGATGCCGGCGGCACAGAGCTGGAGGCCTTATTGGGGCAATCACATCGTCATTATAGGGAACCCTCATTTATGAGCGAGTCCGACAAACTCAAAATGTTGTTACTGCCCTCAAAATAGAAGACTAAACGATCAAATAATGCATTTATGTAAGTTTATAAAACGCTTTTGCATGGGTCTTAATGACTGTTTCGGTTGAGATGATTCCCTTTTTGATTAGATAGATATATAATCAATTTTAATCGATTTTATTTTTAAAACAAAATTTTACCATCTAATATTTTTACACATAAAAAGTATTGCTATCAGCTAATTCTCTTTTGCTGCGTTAAAATTCTTATAAATGTATGTACAATTTATAAATCCAGTCCAGATTTTCTTGTTACAGATTTACGGAATTATTATTTTTTAATCCACATTAAGCAAAAACTAAAGTGATATTTTATAAATGGAATTTTATGTGGGAAAACCGAAGCAGGTCGTATGTGTGAATTTTATGCCATCTTTATTGCAATGGCCCTATAGTTTTTATATTGAGCATAATAAGCGAAAACTACGACTACGAATTACGAATACTCATAGATAGTAAGCTATTTAAAATACTCATCTTCCCACATAGCCCGTAAGAATTAAAATCTCTATGTATGTTTGTAAATGACTGTTTACTTTATCCTGGTGCCCACGAAAAACATATATAAAGCATATATTTTCCTGAATTTCTACTTTGTCGTGGGCACTGGGCTTTGAAGTCCATTCTATATTATACACATAAGTACAATACCAATAGGCGTTTTTGCAAAAAAAAAATCGTACCTTGAAAAGTGCCTTCAAGTTTACAAAATATTTTATGTGTGACTAATAAAACGATTTCGAATCATTAACCCTGTTTGACCTTTTGCTGATTCAGCAACTTGAACTCTGGACCCCAGATGACATTGTTGGCAAACTCACCGAGTAGATAGCAAGCTAAGTTGAAGCCCACCAAGAGAGCAAGAAACAGGTACCGCAGGTATACGGGCAGTACCTCCAAAATAGGATACACAAACTCTCCACTGAAATATTTAACAATATGTAACCAGATAATGTAGAGCAGCATAAAAGAGACGTTGCCCATGATGCCGGCTAGTCGACTTGGGTAGCGGCGGAAGCAGGTAAACAGGTCCATGATGGCAAGGAGGGCTACATTTGTGTGTACCACGTGATTTAGCCAGCTGTGAAAGTGGGAATGCAGGTAAATTAAATCTGTTTTGTGAACAAAATATCTTCAAACAAAAGAATTTCCACATAGGCAGATAAAGGTTCACATACGATTTGAATCAAAAAATCATTGAACTTGCCTGGGGAATATCGCATCCAGTGCCGATGGAAAAATGAGCTCACGGTCCCAGATGTAAATAACCCAAAACGAGAGGCACACGTTGTGTGCGACGGGAAAGGCAAAGGCCGCGAATACATAGTCCCTCGTCGATCTCAACCTGGACTCTGTGTTCCAGCAGACTTTGTTATCACCGAAGATATCGTTTAAAAGGGCTAGTGAATGGTACATGGCCTGCAGAATAACGTCTAGGAAGGTGAGGTACTTAAACTTCCCTCCCCAGCGGGCTTTCAGCTCAGCCTCATCTAGCAAATCAGTGGGCCAGTGTACACGATAGTAGTGGTAATACATCCCATACGAAAACTGGGCCGCTGCCACGAGGTGAACAAGGAATCTAAGGTACTTGAAGGCCCCACTTGTATAGGCATCGTTGCAGGTTTCCAGCCTGGAGTTTGTGGCCGCAGCCGACTCCTTAGCTGCGTTGAATTCACGCGCCTGCTTTTTACTTTTGCCCATTTTCGTCAAAAATATAGCCTCGCCAACCAAATGAAAACAAATAAAAGCTAGTCGACAGCTGATTGGGGCGCTGCACACGACGAGTTAAACACAAGCTTAATATAAATTTTCAAGCCAAAACTAGCTCATAGAAGCTATTTTTGACAAATACTAATAATAATTAAAAACTGAAATTAAGCAGATAGAAACAAAAAGTGAAAAAAGAATTTGGTGGACGATTTCAATTTTACATAAGTATTGATAGAAAATTAACTATTTTCCAATCGATATTTTGTCCAATCGATTTTTGGCATCACCATCCGTGGATCAAAGCTTTTTTGTTAGCGCCCCATTTAAATAAATGTTTGCAATATTTTAGAATTTAAATAGATTTATTACGATACTAAAATTTAATTACAGGTGTTCAAAGAGGTGTTGGTTTCACGTGCCTTTATATGGGTTCTCGCAATCTAGAATGATATTTAACTATTTGATCCTATAACAGACAAAAGGCGCGCGCACTTGATATTCGCTTGTAGAATTCGTAATAAACATTAATAAAATATCCATGCTGTCGCCCCATTATTATTAAGACATTAGGGACTTACAATATTAGCGAATCTATCGGGCGAGTAAGAATTTCATCATTTCTTACATAGTAGAATATGTGCGACTTCTTGAATAAACTTTACCGTAAAAACATGTGTATACATACATATATATACAAATATATACATATGTATAATTATTATGTTTTGGTGATAATATTGAATGTGGTAAAAATAAAAAATGGAGCTTGACCTGACTATTATTAATTTTATTTTGTGGCTAGTTAAACGCAACTACATGAAAACAGAAACAGAAAGGGACACAGCTTACTCCTAGTTAGATTTGCGCTTAGCCAGTTTCACCTCCTTGGCCCAAACGGTATTATTGAGAAACTCGCCCAGTAGATACAGCGACAACGTGAATCCCACGACAGCTACAAAGAACAGGATGCGCTGCGGAAGTTGAAGCACTTCGAGCACCTGGTAAACCCACACGCCGGAGTAATGTTTCACCACGTGAATCCAAATCAGGTAAGAGACCATGAAGATGGTCAGTCCAGCAAGTCCATGGCTGCGCTTCGGGTATGATCGGTACGAGATAAAAAGCTCTAGGACGATGAAGACCATGATGTTTGTGTGTAGGACATGGTTTAGCCAGCTGTAAGAGTCAAAATATTGTAAGTGAATTTAAGCTCTAAAAAATAATTTGACCCTAATTTAACGTAAAGACACTTGCATAAATGCCAGTTTGTAGATAAAATTACCGTTTTTATTTTAAAAATGAAAAAAGCAAAATATTTTTAACGAAAGAGGGACAATAACGTATATAAATAAATATTAATATTTGTGGTATATTTAAACTTTAACTTAATAACATTTTAGATTAACATTTATGGACATGCAAATAAGTTTTGCTTTCAAAGTAAAGTAACTACGTTGATTCCAATAGCTTTTGTAATCTTACCTGGGGAACACGGGGTCCAGCACCTTGGGGAAGACCAGCTCTCTATCAATGGCGTACAGTGTCCAGAATGTAACGCCCACATTGATGGCTACTGGGAAGGCCAATGTGGCCATCAGCCAGTCCTTGAACCTGCGCACGGCCGGAGGTTTCTTGGGGGTCAATTCATTTGTGCCCACGAAATCGTTGGCGAGCGATACAGTATAGTACAGGGCCTGAATTATCTGTAAGTGGAAGAACATTTGACGTGTGTGAGATAATGTGGTTAAATTTGAAGGGTTGCTTAAGTGGAGTGGAAGGAATTACAGCCAGCAAAAAAGGCCATCAAAGCACTTCCTGTAATATTTGGTTTAAAAAAATTTTTAAATCATCAACTTGAGGAAAATTTTATTTAACTGGATTATATTTGTGGTCCTAGATAAAGATAAATATTTCACTTGTTTTAGACTCTCTAAGTAAAATGTCTATGAAAAGTCAATTTCTAATTATGGAGTTGAAAATAGTATGCCTATATGAAATTGAAACTGATACATAGACAACAGAAGGCATAGGAATATCCTACATATTTCTTATGTAGGTGAAGCCTATAATTTCAACCACCTTCCTGGTGCATTTTCTCTGTGTAATTTAATAGATGCATGTAACCAGTTAGAGATTTCAACCCTACAAGATGCGAACCGAGTGACCTTTAAACAACGTTATATGTTCGTGTTTCTAATGAAAGTTGGAGATTACCGCATCCAGGAACGTTAAATATTTGAATTTGCCCCCCCAGGGATGATGGATCCGCATCTCCGGCTCGCTAGTGGGAAACTTGATGTATGTGTAGTCGTAATAAATGCCATAGCTAAATTGCACGGCAGCTGTCAAGTGAAGTAGTATCCTTAAAGCCCCGTAGACGCCCTGGTACAGGGAGTTTCCTCGCACAGATGGCATTTTCCTGCTTCTCAGCTCACGATTGATTTTTCACGGCACAAAAACACAAACAAACCGGTCCGGTCTGTCGCTCTGAAACATTTGTTCTCAGCCACCCTCGGAAAGGGGGTGGGCAGGTGGAATAGTGTGGCCGAGCTGAAGCAACAACATTATTGTTTTCTTTTTCGGCCGCATTGGCGCTAGTAGTATTCAAAATGTTAGGATGTCTTAACGTTTCTGTTAGAAAATGCCTAGCAGGAATAGTGTGACCGGAACGGTGCCAAAATACCAGATGTTAAATTATTGCAGGCCATATTTATAGTAGCAGCTTAAGTATTTGATGCTTATTATTTTTATTTTCAACATGGATTTCACACAATCGTTTTATTATTTGAATCGATTTATTTTATGTTGATTGGAAGTTTATTTGAACAAGCCGGTCAGCACATTAAGAAGTATATAATTCAGAACGAATAGGTTTTCTTTATCACAGTACACCCAGAGAAATATGAAGTAAATGAAAATGATCACTGACCTAAACCTTATATGTTGCCTCTATCAAAATATATTTTCCTACACCAGTGATAAATTTATTGTGTACGAGCGATTAGGCAATTGATGAATATCTCTGTGTTAATATACATGTACATATGTATGTATGTACGAGTGTAAATTTGGCTGACCAGTGCATCTCTTTTGTTGCTTCGGTATTATTTATTCAGCTTACCGCACAAAGGAAAGTTAAATACTTGAATTTTCCGGCGAATGGCACAGTGTTTGGCATGTCGAGTGCGTGAAAATAGTATACGCCATAGTTAAACTGCAAAACAGCCGTCAAATGGAGGAGTAATTGAACCGCCTTGTTAAACCCCGGCGACGTGGAACCTTTGCTCTTTGATTTTGTCTTTGGCTTGGCCATGTTGAACCTCCAGATACGTACTGATTTTAGTATAGCCAGAGTCCAGCCATTAGCCACAAATTCATACGGAATTGACGTTTAAATACAGTGATCTCACTAATACGAACTTTATACTTATTTATTTTACACATAGTTATGCAAAGAAATGTGTATTGTTTTAATTAAATAAATTTATAAGCAATATTATAGGCTTTGTTCCAAAAAACTAGGCCTAGATTTCGCAAACACTTTGGTCATTTCAGAGTCAAAAACGCGCTTTCTTCAAATTTCTAAACAGCAATAAAAGTGAGTGCTCACTGTATATGCTTTTTGCTTTCGCTTTAAAACTGATAAGGTGCGCTTATCTGCCGTACTTCCAATCGCCGTGGTACAAAGTATTTTCACTCAGAAACGAATTCACAGAAGCTAAAAGAAAATCTGGGAAGCTTAATCCGAATCGAGCCTACTTTCCGTCCCCCTTCTAGCGCGCATCTAGATGTCCTATAACAGAGCTTGGGAAGGCGGCAAAGGGGTGTTGTCATACGTCGATTCGCGTTCTATGAATAGATGTGGATACACATAAACCATATTTACGAGTGGAGACAAAGGCTTCTTGAAATATGTGCGCAGCTAATGGCAACTATCGATTCCAAGCCCCCAAGCCACCCGCTGTGAAGGTCAAGGAGCAAGGCCATCGCGACAAAAAAGCGAAGTCATTAAAAGCCTGCTAACTTAATTATCTGGTATCCTTATTAGGTGGCCTTTTGTTTCTCTATGCATTCGTAACACGCTATTTATCAATTGTGTGTTAGTAATTTATTTGAGTCTTAAATTATCATGGTATCCGCCTCCAAATATTCTATTCGTTGTTCAGTTAGTTGAAATCAATAATTGTAGGAGATATGAGCTTAAATATGTTTCATTAAACATTTTCTTACAAAATTTTTTTTTAGTTTTGTTGAGAAGAATCCTTCTAAATTGTCTCCTCGTCGGTTTCGGGTCCACAGGCCTCCAAGTTGATTTCAGTCAGTTCCTGTTCATCAATCACATTGCTGGCGTCCAGATCTCCCGTCTCCATTTTTGGGGCAACCAAGAGTTCTTCCTGTGCCTGAGCTTCTTTGGCTGCCACTTCAATGGCTGCCCCCTGCTCGAACATGGGATTGTCGAAGGCTCGTTCTCTTACTTCCCCACTTTCGGGATCGTAAGCCATTATTCCCAGACGATCCACACCGAAAGCGCCTCCGTCACTAGATCCACCTCCTGCTCCGACGTTATCAAAACGATTAAAGAGCAAATTTCGCCGTATTCTCACCCCTAAGTTACTCCACCTCCAGCGTCTCGGATCCTGAATCCACTGGGGTATTCGATTTAGGTAGGGGTTTTCCGGCAGAAAGTGAGACAGAATGACCACTGAAACCAATCCCACGAGGGCCATACAGATCAGAATCAGAATAACCGAGGAGATGCTCACATTCGGATTATGGGGTGGCCCAGAAACCCAAAACTTAGAGCCCGTTATATTCCAATGATCGAAAACTTGTTCAAAGAATTCTAAGCTCTGTTCCTTATATGCCACCCGATCGGTCACTATAGCCTGAATAAAATGTCCAAGCTGGACGTCCACAAAATCAACATGGAGCTGTATCTGGTCCTTCATATTTTTCTGGTTGATGAGGTCATTTAATTTATTTATAATGTCCCTTTTACTGCTCTCAATGCAGTGTGTCGTGGGTGTGGATAAGAATGCTCCGCAAATGAAGCAACAGGAACCTAAGGGCCGAATAGGGGATAAACAGTGGGGAGTCTCGCACTGCTCCAGAACATTATGACAAACGGGTTCCAGCAACTTATCCGACTCCTTGTGGCATCCACACAGTTCTCCTCTGTAATATTCCACCTGGACTTCCTGAGCATTGTGAAAGAGAACTTGTCCTAAATCTCTGCTGATAAGTTCTTCCAAATAGGTATTGGAAATAGAAGAACCAGCCAGGATAAGTTGTCCCATCCTCAGGTGCTGCACATTTTCGAGATCAAAGGCCAATGGCCCGTGGCCGTTGATTATAACCTGCTCATCGTCGCAGGGAATCCTTTCAAGCTCTGGTAGTGATGTGGATAAAACATTCTCAGATTTATCAGTCCAGGTGCCCGGATCGAACCATTTCCTTGATTTAGGTGGCTTTAAATAAGCTTTCTTATCCTCATTTTCACAGACCGATTTCTTCTTGGCACCAAAGGTAATGGTAGATTCCTCTGACAAAAGAATCGCCCCCTCTCTGGGGAAAACAAAACCATCAATAGATATATCTTCGGGCAAAGGCAGTAGTGCTTGATAATAATCCGGAAAAACAATTACATCCTGGGCACAAGGCAGGTGGTCGTCTATCCAGGCAGAGGGATGGCCGAAGTCCAAGCCTCCGCCATACCATTTGGTAGCTTTTCCCGGTTGGAGCCAGAATAATATCCCGATCAAGCAATGCAACCACATGACGCGAACTAAGTGAGTTTCAGACTAGTTTTAACAGTGTCAAAGAATTTCACCCATTGAACACGCTTCATATTTGGGGGCGTTTTTTATATTCTCTTCATTCTGCTTTTCAATTTTCAATGCGAACAAAAACAGGGAAATGTGACAGCCAATGTATACAAAATTACGACCAGATGGAACCAATAAATACCCTATAAAAAAGCAAAAAGCAACGCAAAGAACTAGTGCCGCAACTGAATGATACCCTTACTCGGTTCATAAATTTTAAAGTTGGTAGTCTATTTGGTATATCTCATCTGGAGATGAAGTCACCGCACATTAAAATTTGCAAAACCTCTATTTTAGCCTCGATATCGCTCATTCTAGAAATGTTGCTTCAAAAATCTTTCACCAATAAATCGTTCAAAATCGATAAAATTGAACTGGGACCAGAAAAAAACATGTATAATATTATGTAGTATACTATATAAACTGTACAGGTTTGGCTTGGAAAATACACAGAAGAATTCTCTATGCTTAAACAGTGCAAATGTTTGTCGGAAAATAGTTGAATTTTTTGTATTTTGATTGCGCTGATATAAACAATTCCCCGTGCCCACATCCCATGCTGGACGGAAGCCATTGGAATACTCAGAAAAAAGGTAGAAAAAGCGCCAACAGAAATAAATGAACCGGATGGTTATGGCATCGAAAAATGATTGTACTTGTATTGAGGGACTACATATAGTTAGAAAATGGAAAGATCTGCAGATATAAAGCACTTTATGCTCAACAGATCAAAGTACTTGGGCGGGACACGAGCATTAATCAAGGGCACGCAAGGTCGTGCAATAATAAACTAAATAAAGAATTATTTGGATAAGCCGCACGAAATTGGAAACTTTTATGTTCTTGAATTATAGCTGAAAAGGCTGGCGTGGTAATATGTACAACAAAAATTGTCAACACAATTAAGGGAATTTAATAAAAATCCATTCTTGTCCCAATTTGGACCATGGTAAAACGCGCAATTAATGGAAATTTATTAAATGGAAACGCATTTTACTTATTAAGTTGTTTTTATAACGACATCAATTTTCCTTGTGATATCCAGAATTCTGAAAATATTAATGTAATTTTTCCCAATAATTAAGCGTACCCTAAAATAAATCCACTCCAAAATATGTGTATATATGATATTCTTGTAGGATGACTAACCAGAAATTTTACTTTTCCGACAAAGACCTATCCTTTTCAAATTTAAGACATATTTATTTACCTATCTGAAAATATTCTGATATATAATTCGCCTTTCTACGATTACGGACCCTGAGTTATTTGCTTGTGCTTTGTTTGTTGCCAAGTAGCTGCGAGAAAAATATTCCAATATTCCATCGATTTTAAAAGCAATATTAACGATATGTAAATCGAAGCCAACTGCCGCGTATGGCACATTTACATTGGCGCCCATCAGATAATCTGGCATTCGTCGTCCCATAAATTTTCGGCTGCAGAGAGCAACCAGAATCGAAACCGAAAATCTGGAAAACTGCGAATGTCTGAGCAAATAAATATTTGAGGCGAGAAAAGTCGAAACTCGATTGTATGCAAAGTATGTGCAACGACAACAAGGAAAAGTGCATCAGAACGCGAAAATTCTGAAGAATTAGCTCTTGTTGGCAGGCTCTCCTCCTTCACAGTTGTTGACCCCGCGTGGCCGATAAAAAAAATGAAAGTATGCAATCCCCAACGAGCAGACAAACAAATAAACAAGCATATGGCAGGCATAAATGTGAGCAGCAGCTACGGCAATAATAATAAGAATAATTTATCTCTCCAAGATTTTTGGGGTTTCGACACTTGAAACAGCTATCCGTGTTTCCGTTTTGTTTTTTAATTTTCCATAAATTTTGCTGCAATGCCCTTATATTTACTCACCAGAGACCAATATGACAAGAACTTGATTTTCTGGGGCAGCGATTCCGGGACCAGTCGTCGATTCACGCTGGTCTTTAGTTTGTAGCTCCGTTGTATGTCAAACGAGCTATAGTAGAGCCCATAGGCAAATTGGCCCAGTGCGCAAAGGTGTATGATTGTCACAAAGACGCGAGACTTGTAGAGCTCAACCTTAGTCATCTTGAAGGGCTTTCACAAATCCTACACGGAGTACAGCCAAGGAAACTACCAGATACACCGGAGCAAATTCTATAGAAATTGTAATCCAAATTATCTTTGTTAATTAGTTGTATGTCGTGGCTGCTTATAGTTTCAGGTAGTCTTTTTCACTTAATTATACGCATTTACCAAGATAGATTTAGAGTATATTTATTATTATATTTTCCCTAAGATTTGTTGTATAAGAGCCTAAAAATAATAATACGGAAATTCAGTCAAGACATTCTTAGTTCTTCAATCAAGACACGCGCTGGACTCAAAGCGCGCACAAATTTCAATCAATATTTGCGTCACTGACATAAATATTTAAGCCTTAAAAAAATAAAACAGGAGTTTCTCGAAAAAAAACTAGAAAGTTTTAACCAAACTATAAGTTCCCTGTGGCTCTTGTTTATAATTTTGTTATGTTCATAATTTTATGGTTTTTATGACCCTTAAAAGACATTGTTGGTCGTTTCTGATTTGATTTCCACACTCTAAACAAATCACCAGTCCACTGCCACACGCACGGAAAGAATTTTTCCTGATTTCCCTTTGGCTTTCGTTGGGGGAATTGCGCGGCTCGGATTTTGTATGACCGCGGACACAACTGAGCAAATGGAAAACTGGAGTCACACTGTTGCCCATACGCCGTGTTGCCTCCTGCCTTTTGTACTCGTTTCCATTGTACTTGTGCTGTTGCTTGCTTCTGTTTCTGCTTCGGTTTTGTGGTGTCGTTCTTTCATTTGTTTGCTTCAGGTGCGTGCTGCGCATGTCCGGTCTACGGACTCCGGGTTTCGCGTACGAGATCCGGGTGTGTAGGCTCCGTGTTTATGCGTTAAAAACGGCCAATCACCTGAATGAATCTCCGCCACCCACACTGCAGCTCATTGGGATAAACTATGTTTATTGACTAACCATATTAGACGGAATAATGCAGCCATAGCTTGGAAGGGAACTTTGTGCCCGTATTAACACCTTGAATTATACATAAGACAGTTAGAAAATCGAAAGAGAGCATAAATTCTTATTTAAAATTTGAATAATTATTAATATTTGAACGTAGATAGTAGCTAAGCGCGGCAGCTTATATCGATTACAAATCTACCATAAGAGTTCCCTGCTCGATATCAGGAATGTGTTTAATTGATTAATGAATGTTTTTCTGATAATGATTCGAAAATATTTTTTTTTATTTTTTGCTTTCTTAAAGCCGTAAATTGTAATAGGTTCATCGAATATATTTTTATAATCAAATTTTTATTTTTTATTTTTTAAAAATCGATTTTTTGGCCCACCAACTGAAAAAGGTAAAACTTTTCTTCCGTAAACTGGCCACTCTCTGTTGCTGTTGTTTTCCTTTCAAATTTAAAGACATGTCGTAATCCAAAACGACTGGAAACCACATAGGCCGGCAACCAAATTCCCAGTGCAGGCATTTTCGGAAGAAGGCTCCAGACTCAGATCAGCACGCAGACATGTCAACCGCATCGCGGTTAACTTTGGCCATGGCGGTGTCTGTATCCACGGCGATCATAGGTTATGTGCACTATAAACAATCGGCAGATCGGTGAGCCAGTAATATCTTCACTTAGCAACTGTAGTACTTATTCTTCTTCATGCAGGCTGAGACTTCACGATGGTGTATTAAGGGATGTTGAACAGCAGCAACGGCGAAAACACGAGAACACCTATACGTTGCAGCAGCAAATTGACATCACGAAGCATTTAAAGGCCAGGGAAGCGTCCAGCAACCCATCCGATACTCCCGTACCCGCATTGGAGACCCCCTCAGAAAGTAATATCCAAGAGGAGATAGAAACAAATCCCACGCCGTCGCCGAATGTCCTCGGAACCGGGCTCCAGCCGCATCCTGAACAGGCAATAACCGGAGATGTTCCGCTTTCTGAATCTGTCAATCAAGAAGCTCCCAGCCCGACATCAGACATAGCTTAAGCACCATAATGCATTTCATTGTGCGCCAATAACCAACAAAAGCCTTTTTTTTTTGTAAAAAAGTATAGCTTTTAAAAGATTTAATCGGTTGCCCCTTGAACTATTTCGTTCGTTTTTTAAAAAAGTGGTTGACCACAGATTGATCGGAAAGGACTGAAGGCCTAATAGCTTAAAATATTGATGATCCTAAGTGAGAGGTTGTAGATGAAGAGAAATAAACTGATTATAAGTGATAAGTATCTTTCGTGCAAATTAAAGTCAAATTATTTGGTTTACGTACCAGTTCTTTACGGATCGTAGTGCGATACTTTCTTTTTCTGTATACATATAGTATTACTCAATTTTATTATTACGAATGTGTGTATAGTAAATTACAATTCTAATGGGCGTTCGGTAAAGTATTTCGCGGGGGGTTTGTACATAGGTGGTGGAACACCCCATCATCCTTTCCCTTTCTTCTCCTCATCTTGTCTCTACTTCGAAGTGATATAAAAATGTGGAAAACTAACGCAGAGAATAAAATACACGATGCTTGGCGTTGTTGCTTGTCCGTTGCTTTCTCCCTCAATTGCCACTGTATTGAAAAAATGTCCAGAATATTTAATACCGCCCACCGCCACCTCCACCCCCGCCACCTTTGCGACGATCGCGGTCGTTGCCGCGCATATTGTCCCGCTCGTTGTTCAAGTAGTTTCCTCCGCCTACACCGTCTCCTCTGCCGCCTCCTCGTCGTCCCGGAGACCGTGACCTGCTGCGGGAACCGCGACGTCGGCCTGGCGAGCGGGAACGGGAGCGTGCACGACGCCGGCGAGAATAGAGGTACCTCCGAAGTTCCCGCGAGATTGGCTTTAAATGCATGAAGTTGCAGAAGCCAGAACGGGTACACTCACCCATTTCGTACTGCCGACAGCAGGCCTCACGAAAATCGGTGACCGGCGAAAGTTCGGAGTATACCGGCCGTCCGCCGAACCACCGATTATTTAAATCATTTGCTGCCTTTTCCGCATCCGCCTCGTTCCGGAATTTTATGTAGACATTGCCTACTAGGTGGTCGCCTAGGTTGTCGCACACGTTCATCTCCTCAATTTCTCCGTACTTGTCCTCACACTCGACGAAAACGTCCTCGAAAAAGTTGTCGTAATGCTCCTGCATCTCCTTCGTCGGAGACATTGGCTACAAGATGAGAGCCATCCGCGGATTTGGCCGAGTTCTGAGGGTTCACATACAGATTTTGTAGTAGCACCGTCTGCGAGAAAGTTGGCTTGTTGTGAATACGCGAGCATCGGTCGCCGTGGCGGCAAGCGCCGATCTTAAAGTAGAACGAGCAGTTAACCCTATGGAATGTAAAATGAACACGATCAAGTTATAAGCTCTGGTAAAGAGTAAATAAATGTGCCATGCGACTGAACTCACTTGTCCTTTTCCGTGCCAAAAATGGATGCCAAGTACTCGGCCATGGTGGCGGCTTTACTGTGTTGTTACTTCCGCCAAAATGTGTAATTTCGCTGCCGGCTTGCCTCTGCGACGCGTTCGAAATGCAATTAGCTTTGCCGCCTGTGTATTTTCTGTCAAATTTCAATTATTCTCCGATGCCGCACGTAAAAAAGCAGCGTCTGGACGTATTTTGCACGGCGTTGCCAGTCTCAAATCTAACAAAAAACGATATATATTTGGTATTATCGATGCTGAAAAATATTTTGAAGTCGATGTTTTCCCTGGAACCACTGATTTTGGTCTTTTACAATCGACTGCACCTTTTACTTTCAGAAATAAATTATCAAACAACTAAAATGTTTTAAGTTCTGCATCTAAGCTCGAAAAATACTCTATATTTGTTTTTTGGAAAAAACAGAAATATGTTCCGAATTGATAAAAAATGTATACTTTCAACGGTGTGAGTCTTAGCTTAATGTAAATCCAAGTTATCGATACCGGTTAGAAAGATCCTAATTTCAATCGCAGAACAATGACAACCCTGTCGATTTGCTTCTAGAAAAGTCGGCATTTTTCGCATTTTCATCTGGCCCGACCCGGTTAGCAGCGTGTTTCATTTAATAATTTAATAATTATCAAGAAAAAAAGGACAAATTAGCTACCATCATCCGCTCCACCAGCAGAAATGGACAAGGTAAATGGGTGGGTCCCTGATAAGGCGTGGGCTAACTAAAACGCTGCGGTTTCAGGTGAACGAACTCAAGGAAAAGGGCAACAAGGCGCTTAATGCTGAGAAATTCGACGAGGCTGTGTCGGCGTACACTGAGGCCATCTCACTGGATGGCCAGAACCATGTGCTTTACAGCAACCGATCGGCGGCTTTTGCAAAGGCTGGAAAGTTTCAGGAAGCTCTGGAGGATGCGGAGAAGACCATTGAGCTCAATCCCACCTGGCCAAAGGGCTACTCCCGCAAAGGAGTTGCTGCCGCCGGTTTGCATGACTACATGAAGGCCTTTGCGGCATACAACGAGGGTAAGGCCAGATCCAAACCCTAATGTCATACATATGCCATCATGAATCACCCGACCTAACCTCACTTTGGTTACTTACACAGGTCTCAAATACGATCCCAATAGTGCTATACTCTTGCAGGGTCGTACGGACACTACTGCCTCGGCTCTAAACTATATGCAATCGCACGGCGATATACCCATGGACATAGATCCTCAGCAGACGCACAGCCGAAGGGCTCCTTCTCCACCGCCTGCAAAACCAGCTGAGCCCCAAAAACCGGCAGAACCTCGGGTTGAGGACATGAACGAGGAGGAAAAGAAGAAGTACTTTGCCAAGAAGGAAAAGGAACTTGGCAATGCCGCTTACAAAAAGAAGGACTTTGAAACAGCCTTGAAACACTACAACGCTGCCATTGAACACGATCCCACAGATATCACCTTTTACAACAATATAGCTGCCGTTCACTTCGAGCGTAAGGAGTACGAGGAGTGCATTAAGCAGTGCGAAAAGGGTATCGAGGTGGGGCGCGAAAGTCGCGCTGACTTCAAGCTGATAGCCAAGTCATTTGCTCGCATCGGGAACACCTATCGCAAGCAGGAAAACTATAAGCAGGCGAAGGTGTTCTACGAGAAGGCCATGTCTGAGCATCGCACTCCGGAGATCAAAACATCGCTAAGTGAGGTGGAGGCCAAGATAAAGGAGGAGGAGAGAATGGCCTATATCAATCCAGAGAAGGCCGAGGAGGAGAAAGAACAAGGCAACCACTTCTTTAAAAAGGGCGACTACAGCAATGCCGTAAAACACTATACCGAGGCTATCAAACGCAACCCGGATGATCCCAAGCTGTATAGCAACCGCGCCGCCTGCTACACTAAGCTGGCCGCCTTCGACTTGGGGCTCAAGGATTGCGACACTTGCATTAAGCTGGACGAGAAGTTTATTAAGGGCTACATTCGCAAGGGCAAAATCTTGCAGGGCATGCAGCAACAATCTAAGGCCCAGGCCGCCTACCAAAAGGCCCTGGAACTGGACCCCAACAACGCGGAAGCCGTCGAGGGTTATCGTCAATGTTCGATAAATTTCCAGCGAAATCCTCAGGAAGTTCTGAAGAATGCCATGTCGGACCCGGAAATTCAGCAAATTCTCAAGGACCCGGCCATGCGCATGATCCTCGAGCAGATGCAGAATGATCCCAATGCGGTCAAAGAGTAAGTACACCTAGATTTGATAATAATGAGTTGCCCACTACTCGATGTGGATTTTGGGGCTTCTAGGGTTAAGGTCTAGAACATTCTCATTCGAATGTAATTAGCATTTATTACTAGCATCGGGGGCTTAAAAATTACAATAGTTTTTTAAATTTTTTCGATACATTTTATAATGTCAAAGTAATGTAAGATCACAAAGGCTTGTTCTTATAACAATAGTTTTTTCTATAATGATTGAATGATGTTTGTGAGGTTTTATATATCATACTTTTTATGGTGTATTTATGTTTTCCGAAAACACCCCTATTTCCACGAGTATCGAGTAAAAGAGTGTTTAAATTTGTTTTTAATTAACAACCTTTATTTTACAGACATTTGCAGAATCCAGCAATCGCCGATAAGATAATGAAACTGCTGGAATCAGGCATCATTCAGATACACTAGGTACTCCACCCCCAAACGCGCACACTCATACACCCACTAACCCACATACCAACCATATTGATACACATTCAGGAGACGAACCCTCAATAATATGAATTATACAAAATGTATGGCACCTCCAAGCTGGTTAAATAATGTATCGTTTTTTTATGAAACGGGCCACAAATAATGCTAAACGTAATTACCTTAGAAATCGCAACTCCTAAACGCAGAACGACGATAACTACCACTAACTAAAAAAAACTAAAACTAAAAGGAGAAAAAAAAACATTGATAAATGTCTGCCTAGTTGATTTACGCAGACGGATGGAGTAGGCTCCAAACGTCAAGGTCCTTATTTTCTTACTACAATAAATATGCTGTAGCTTAGCTCTAAAATAAGTTTTTGAATGTAAAATAAAAAGAGTCAACGAATGGTAAGCAAAGACTTTAAATTTCCCGCTTAAGTGTTGAAAAACTGATGTAGTGTTCGACGATAACTGTGTCGGTTACGTTGTCAACGGGCTTCTTAATTTTACTTAAAAGGGTTGGTCTCAGAAAAGTAATTGCTTTTTAAGTCAATTTCTCATTTTTTAAATATAAATATACGTCTTTCAACAATTTAATTTTTGTTATATACAATATTCCGTTTTCGGTTTTCTTTGTAACAGTAATTACGTCATTTGCTCTCACCGTAACGTAGTTTCGCCCTGACCAACACAGGAAACGGACAGTGCTGGAAAGGACCTGTGGGCAGCATGGCAACAACAGCGCTGTACAACACCGCACGATTTCTACCCGAAAAAATGGTGTGCTGATATATTGTGATTAAACCGTGATTTGCGACGTCCAAAAGCTTTGTACAAGAATTTGTTAAACAAGTTGCAGTTCTAAAATATCACACCAACGGGAAGAGCCAAGAACTGCTTAATAAGCTTAAAAATCCAAACCTTAAGCCAACCATTTTTTTAACCAGAGTGTCGTAGTGTCCGTCGTGTGCGTTGGTGTGGGTGCGTGTGTGCGTGCGAGTGTGTGTGTTCCGTCGAATCGCGAAACCGAGAATATAGAAAGATGTGCTCTATTCGCTGGTGGTGGTGAGCTATAGCAATATAGCTAAATAGCGAACCGACGAGCGAATAGTCCCTGCAACCCAAAATCCAAATCAGATCCAGTGTTTTCGTCCACTCAAGTATCGGAACGCAACAATTTTGACCCATTGAAAACCCCACAACAGCCACAAAAAGTAAGTTTTTGCACTTAGGGGCGCTTGGCAACAGGCTAGAGTGCTCTGAAGCGGGAGGGCGCTAGCCGTGCGACCGGGGGCGAGACAGAGAGGGAGAGAGAGAGAGCCGGGACGCCAGCGATTACATGCCTCAATTTTACACAAAGTTGCTTTTGCTTTTGCTGGGAGCAATATGTGGCCAATATTTATTAATGGATTGGGAAGCAATTGAGGCCCTTAAATAACGTTTCTTGCCAAGAAATCGATTTATCTAGAAATGTTACTTCTTTTGCAGCTGTCTATGCTTTATATACAGCTTTTTAATTTAAATATATTATTTTACACACGGCATTACATTTTTGATCACAATTTTTAATTTTATTTGGATATGGAATACCCATGGTAATCTAATGACATTAATAAGTAATTACAAGTTGATTGGGAACAGTTTTAAAATTGTTTATATTTTTTTATCACAGACAAATTAAATACTTAGATTATTGGAAACAATAAAACATAAATAATTTGACTTGTATTTTTTTAGTGCAATAATTATTTTGTATTTTTCAGTGCAACCCTCTCCGCTGCACTACTCAACAATGCGGCCGCAAGCGCCCGGATCGCTGGTCGATCCCAATGAGGAAGAACTGCGTCTGGCACCATGGTATTGGGGTCGGATATCACGCGAAGTGGCCAAAAACATCCTGCACGGAAAGCCGGACGGCAGTTTTTTGGTGCGCGACGCTCTCTCTAAAAAGGGCGAATACACTCTGACCCTGATGAAGGACGGAAGCGAGAAGTTGATCAAGATCTGCCATATGGACCGTAAGTACGGTTTCATAGAGAAGAATCTCTTCAATTCGGTGGTGGAGGTGATCAACCACTACAAAGAGAACTCACTGAGCATGTACAATAAGGCCCTGGACATTACGCTGAGTAATCCGATAGTGCGCACCTGCGAGGATGAGGAGTCGCAGCCGCATGGAGATCTCTGCCTATTGAGCAACGACTTCATACGCACCAGCCAGCAGCTGCAAAATCTAGAGCAAAATCTCGAACAGAAGCGAAACTCCTTCAATGCGATTCGGGAGGAGTTGCAAGAGAAGAAGCTGCACCAGAGTGTCTTCGGCAATACAGAGAAAATATTCCGCAATCAGATTAAGCTCAATGAAAATTTTATGAAGGTTCCTGCAGATGGCCTGTCCACTGAAGCGGTAGGACCCGGAGATGGAGGTAGCGGAGTCGCTGCTGCTGCAGCCAATGCCAACGCTCGCCGAAGTCTACAAGAGAACAAACGTGCTCTTCTTAATCTTCTCGAGGCGCTTCAGGCGAAGTTGCAGGTTCTTAACCAGTATATGGAGAACAAGAAGAAGGAGGAGCTGCTTCTCGAGCGACAGATCAACGCCCTTAAGCCGGAACTGCAAGTTATGCAGTTGCGCAAGGACAAATATATTGAGTAAGTCATATCCCAATAATATATACAAATATACTTATTCGGGAAAATTCGGATTCGGGATACTTAATTAAATGATCTACTATTAAAAATATGTAATGAAATCAATGTAAATTAAGATATTGAGAACTTTAGTCTTAGCCAATAACTCATTTCTTGAGAGTGTCGGCAGCTCGTCTTACCAATACGACAACTGATAATAAGGGCATAACACTGATAACGGCAACAGCTTTTTAATTCTTTAAACCAGCGAAGCGCCTGTTTACCCACCTTTTCAATTCAATGCCACTTTCTGTAATATTAAGGTTTGGAAAGTTATTTACTAGCTGTAAATAATTAAAACACCTCAATGGAACACTAACGGGACTTTATTCTGAAGAAGTTCATATGTACGTAGTATAATTTTATTTGCTCATGTGCAGTAAGATATATTCCCAGCTAGAGTGGACGATAAGTAACCCCCTCGGAACTGGAATATACGGTTATGTATAAGGCATGCTTATCTAAATGATTGAAGAGTCTTGGATTTTGGTCTCCAAATCGAAGTCTTTATCGGATCATTATGTGCCATTTTTCAAAGTATGCGAAGTAGTATATAGTATTTTTGCCTTATCAAGGTCATTTGGGTATGAGGGGCAACTTGTGTATAGCTAAAACGTTAGAGAATTTATTATAATATTTTTAATATAGAGAATATCTTATCGAGAGTTTTTAGGGTAGGTGTTTGCATTTCAATATGGGATTAAATAGGCCCTTGTTAATTTAAGAACAATTTGGTTTTTAAGATCTTTAAGATCTTTACTTTCAATGGGGATTTGTTTTTTTGCATCATTGTCTATGATTTTTCAAGCTTGTTAGTTACTTTGTTACTTCGGGCCCATCTCCACGTTTCCGATAATCTCAGGCAATTCGGTTGTAGGGCGAAAACAATAGGCAAAATGCTACTTTCGGCTAGCAACAGGCCTTTAAACATGGAAGTACGTCACCGTTGAGTAAGCTATGGGTTTTTATGGGTATTACCTAGAGTGTGGAAGCGCGAGAGACAGCGAAGAAAAAAAGCCAAGTGGAAGGGTACATGGAGGCCTCTAGATAAGGCTAGCGGCTTGCTGAAGATAGCTGTTCATATCAGACATTATAAATAAGTCTGCCAAATGCTTAATCAATATTCAAGCTTCTTTCCATCTATGTATGTATATCCACCTTGCCAATGTATAATTCTAGGCTGCTCTTTGCAATGCCTTTGCTGGCCCTAAGGCTTTCGTATTTTATTTTTATAAACTTACAAAGATTTGGCTACCACTTTTATAAGATAAAAACCTCAGAGTCTTCCTCTATTCCTTTCCCAGATTAGATACGGTCTTTTCACGGGTATTAAGTTTTGGTGTGTTGCCCTCTTGATTTCATCGCTCCAATGATCCATGATATCACTATGCCTTGTGCTTATCACGCCTTTGGAACTTAGTCACCTGGATAGCCGGCAACAAAGAGCCCCCCAGATTGCCTGATCGTCCGATCGTAATGCGGAAACCCGCAGGTCTAGACCTTCGTAGACCGAGCGGCGGCCGGACACGGCAGTCGCATTTGATTATCAGGAGTTTCGCCGTCAGTTGAAATTGCACACGGTTAGATGAAGCATCGATAGGTATTAGCCATCGATATCGCCATTATTCAAAATTCATTGTTGGATAGGACTGAAGGGGAGGCCAGTGCTCTTGCTTAACGAAAATATATACAACAAAAAGTTATTAGATTAAAGGAGGATTCAAATTGTTTAAGAATTTACAAAAGCGCTAGACTAACAATTTTAATACCCTGCAATTGTGTTCCTTAATGCTTGGTTAGCTGAAAACATACATTTGCAATGATTTGAGCTCTACTAACTTACGGGCACCGTTCTTATTTATCTTCAGGCGCCTAAAAGGATTTAACCTAAAGGACGACGATCTTAAGACAATCCTCGAGATGGGATTTGAAAAGTGGCTGCAACTTCACGAAACAGTGTCGAATCAGCCGCACAGCAACGAATCCCTATGGCTGTTGAAGGATGCCAAGCGCAGAGATGCGGAGGAGCTGCTGAAAGGGATCACCACCGGGTACTTTCCTGATTCGAGCTAGAGACGCGGGACACTATGCTCTGTCGATTGCCTGCAAGAACATCGTGCAACACTGCATTATATACGAAACGAATAGCGGCTTTGGATTTGCCGCCCCTTACAATATATATCCAACGCTGAAGAAGCTGGTGGAGCACTACGCCAACAATTCGCTGGAGGAGCACAACGACACGCTGACCACGACGTTGCGCTGGCCCGTTTTGTACTGGAAGCAAAATCCGCAGCAAATTATAACCCAGTTGCAGGAGGAGATGGACTTGGAGTACGAGCAGGCGGCCACACTGAAGCCGCTGTCAATGATTGGCAGCAGTGCTCCAATTCCAACAAGTAGGTCTCGTGACCACTACGAGGTGGACGGAATCGGAAGCCACGAGGCGGAGGCAGCCCTTTCCTCCATTTCGCCCTCAAACTTTAGCACTTCACAATAGGAACTGTGCATCCATTCTCCTGCTGAATGAGCCCTTAACCTCAGGCTAGCTATATATCTCTACATTTAGCTCGCTCTAAAGCCCTAACTCTCTCTATCTTTAGATACAATCGCAGTTGCTGGCCAAATAATAGCGCACGCTTAGATTTGATGTTAACAGCATTCTTTCATTAGAATGTATAACAGAAGTAAAAAATTCCGTATTCAGCGTATATTCGTAAAAGATAAAGTTTAGTAAGGTCTGTTTTCGATAGCTCGTATTCAGATTAGTTGTTTAGTAACCCCAACTGCCAAGAAAATATTTTCAACCGAAAGGTAAATTCGTGTCACAAAGATATTTCCTTTACCTTAGCTGCGTCAGCTGTTCAAGTCAAAGTAAAACCAATTACCAAGTCTTAACCGGCAGTGCTATTATTTCGGCCACCGCTGAGAATGTATGTACATCGGCATATAATAGGCTATATATCTGTGCATGATTATTTTTTGTGTGTGATGGATAGCGCTGGCAGTCCAACTGACCGCCGCTTTCCCCTTAAAATCAGAAGGCTCCAGAAACAAAAACAGAAAAAAGAAACAAACGAGTAAACAATTTGGTGATCATATATAACAGCTTGATAGAAGCTTTTTGTCGAAAAATGAAAATTTCTAATTGAGAAGTAATTATATTAATATTACGAGTATGAATAATTTTATACAGATATATATATTTTTTGTAACCATCATTTCACGTGATAATTGATAAGTCAAGCTATCTGTTGTTGTATCAACGCCTTCTGCTGTATCCCTTATTATTGTTATCACGCTGCGCGTTGTCTAAAAGGGGCCGTAGGATTGTGAAGAAATTTTCTGCATTTCTTCAGTGTCGTGTTCATGTAAATATTATAAAAACAAAACAAAAGAGCAGCTGCTTGCGAAACGTTTTCGAAATCAGATTTAAGGTTTTGATAAGCGACCCCCGCAACACCATTGGGAACCAACCCATTGCTCTTATATTTGTTGTTATATTATGATTGATTTAAAGTAGTTTTAAGTGAAATTTACGTACGTTTACTCGATGTGATCAGTTAATTGTTGCTAAATAGTGATTCTCCTTAATTTTTTTTTTTCCATTTTTTGTTCAATTACAAAGCTCTAGTTTTCATAATAACACACAACACATACACAATGAGTTTAAACAAAGAAAAATTCATGTACAAAGGAAAGAATGAATTCAAGAAAGTGAATTCACACACACATACACTGATACAGATGCAGATACAGAAAAAACCGCAACAAGCAAACACACAAACAAAGTGCAATCAAAATTGTAATAATTACATTTTTAACATTTGTTAATATATAAAAGGAATGAAACAGGAAAAAGACAAAATGTTGCCCATATATAAAAAACCGCTGCAATAGGCAAAAATTCAGATTAAGTTTCTTTTTACACAACTGATATTTAGCATATAATTATAATTGAATGTTTAACCTCACCTGCTAGGCGTTTTCTGAAATACTCTTTCCCAACGAACTTATAATTCAGCTTAACAGTTTATTAAACATGATTTTCTCCAATTTCAACCTTCAGAATAGCTGCAAACATAAAAACTTTCTATTTGATTAATGTTACAATTGTCTTGGGAAAGGTATTTCATTTGCTTTCCCTTTTTCTCCCGTGCCACCCTAATGTTCTAAGCGAGTTGAAAACATTTCGAGCTTCCTGTTTGCATTTTTCCCGTATTGGTATTGAAATCGAGCGATCCACTTACAAGCACACACAAACACTATCGCGAATTACAGATATTTCTATTATTATTCTATAGATTACAAGTAACTCTTAATTTAATTTATTTAACTTGTAACTTGTGTGTTTCACTTTGCTTAAATTCTATGAGATTTTGGCGGATCTCGTACGTTGTAGTATTTATAAGTTTTAAAATTAGTTTGTAAAATGCGTTTCAAACAAAGCTATAACAAAACAAAAAAGGAAAACAAAAAACCAGTAGCATTGAAAGATTAAATGTATTCTAAACATGGTTCATCGATATCAATTATGTTTGATAGCTGATAGATGATCACTTTTTGCCATACCTAAATGTTAAATGGAAATATTTGTGAATTTTTCAATCTTTGCTTCAGGTCTGCTGCCGCAGCCTGGAACAAAAAGAATTAAAAATGATAGCAATGGAAGGCGACGAAACTAAATGTGAAACGAATTGAAAATTTGTTGTATTTTTTTATATGAATATATATATATTTATATATATATATATATACAGATATTTAAACATACATACCTATTTAATATGTATGTTCTAGAATGCTATATGTTGTAGATCTTAGGCTATATGTTTTAGATCTTTAAGCGCTAACAGCAAACACAACCGAAACAACAACAACCATTTTTTGTAGAAGTTTTTTAAAGAGACGAAAAAAACAAAGAAAACATTGTATGTACTTGTGTTTGTGTCTAAAAAGAATGTTCGTAAATAACACAAACAAAAACAAAACATAATAAAACCGAAAGAAAAACAACCTTTACGAGTAGTTCGCATCGCAATCCCAGCCACCAAAAACATCGAACCTTTCGGTGGTTTCGGGTTTCGCGATATTTCGATCTGGGTTTCTGCTTTCAATGAACCTTTATCGATGGTAAACCGCTGAGCTGGACAAAAAAGGAAAAAAGCAAGTATCACGAGTGTGCCGATTGTTTGGCTGAAAGCATGCTCTGCATCAGTGACTGGTTTCCGATTTTAAGAATCGTAATAGAGGGCCCTAGAAATCAGAGATCTAAATAGCGTGCGGTGTCATTATTTGTAGATACCAATTAAAGTGATTGAAAAATATTTTTAATCGCTCAACTATTGATCCAAGAAATGATGTATGGTTGATTAAGTTCCAGACTTTGTATAGAATTCGTTGATGGTTTATAAAATTTACAGCAATAGAATAATCTATCGCAATATAGGAGATAATTATTCTTAAGTTTACAAACGAAACAAATTTTTTGAAAAGCCCGCTCAATTATGTTTTGTACCAGCCAGCTTTGCACCGCTGGCACATCGTGCTGACAATAATTGCTTCGCTTAAGTAGATGGCTGCTGTGCTAAAAAATTATTTTTTAATTCAATTATTTCATTATTATCTTTTGTTTTTATTTCCATGCGTAAATAGCTTCACGCTTAAACACATATCCAGCTGGCAGTTTTACAAGACATCGCAATCAAGCTAGAAATAAGCTGAAGTCTGAACATTGCGACTTGAACAGCTGGATTTACAGTCCAGTTTGGTATTTTCCAACCATGCAGCTTACGGCTACACTAATCAACAGATTTTCGGGCAGCGCTTCAGCATTTTTTTCAGTCGCGTTTTTGGCCTTTCGGGTTTGTTTTTTTATTTTGAATTGTTGACACATCTCCGGGGCATTTCGTCGTTTTGGAATGTTGAAAAACAAACGGGAGAGATAATAAATCAAAGAAAAGTGCTGGGAGCTAGTAACTAAAATAGACCAAAACAAATGCAGCGTGTGACTTTGCGCTTTGTGATTGCTAGGTGATGCTGCAATAAAAAAATAACAAAAACAACATTAGCAAAAAAAAAAAAGGAATTCGCAAAAAAAGTTTTTTTTTTGAAAAACAACAACGATTCTTTGGGTTCAGCTCTTAATTTTTGTTTTGCATTATTACTTCATAACAGTGCGTCGCGCTCTCGCTCGCTCCGGAAAAGCTCCGCTTTTGGCTCTCCTCTCGCTCAGGTAATTAAATGTGTTTAATTCTATCAACTTCTCACATAAGACATCGAGACAAGTGCGTGTGTGTGCGTGCGCAAGCAAATTAATCAAGATTGAAAAACGCAAACAAATTATTGAATAACACGGCGTTAGAAAACGAAGGCAGGTGCTCGTTCGCCCTATTTCTTTCTCTTTAGGCTGATCGGCTCTGAGCTTTGAGATGCCGTAATCTCAGTTATTTACTGCCGGGAGTGGTGGGGGTCAGCTGTGGGTGGCGGGCCGGGAGCAGTGAGAGGCGTAATCGATCAGTGGGAGTGATCTCATTGCCTTGCTTTTGTGCGAAGCTTATCAGGCGCTTAGGGGTTAAGAGGGCTGGGAGGAACGCGGGAGGCAGGGGGCGGCCCGGTTTAACAGATAATGCTAAAGAGCAGATGGCAATCAAAACTCTTTCGTTCTCTTCGGAGAATAAAATCTTCGAAGATTCCTAATCAAACAGTGAAATTTTTATATTCAAATGGTGTTAATCATAATACAGTCATAATTACTTGGTAAATTTCTTACCCTTCACAAGTAAACCTGAATATTGAAAGTATTCCGAGCTTCATAAATTGACACACTTGTTAAAAACACGAATAATTAAATATCGTTGTTGTTGTATTCTCATAATTCTGTCATTATCTTACCGTACATGTGCCGCCTCTTCCACTTCGACTGTCCTACTCCCCCTACACCTCCACACCCTAACCGCCACCTATCCGCCACACTCTGTTCAACCCCTGGTGCAACAACAACAAAAAACCAAAACAACACGTTGTAAATAATTTTTGTGGGCCGCACCCAGGCGCCATTAAAAGCCGAATGAAAATTTGGAGGCACTGGTGAGGAGGCGAGGGATGGCGGTGTGCGTTAAATACAAGTGTATAAAAGTGGCAGCACATATTGTACATATCTTTAATTACAATAAACACGCGTCACTACGAAGTATGAGAGAGGAAGGTAGGGTTTCACCCCTGACCTCCCGTTTATTCCTTTCGTACTACCACACGCTGGTCGCCCTTACAGCACCCCCAATTAATCCTTTTACCTGCCCACTCATCGTTCAACGCTCTATAAATAAATCTCATTAATAAATTAAACGTTTTAGCGCAGGAAATTCCTTTTCCAGCACCCACAACTTAACCCCAAACCGCCCTCCGTTATAGTATGCTCGTGTTCACAAACAGACCCGAAAAATATCCACACTACAACCCGGTTCGATCCGATATGGCGACGTCATTATGGCTTTAAAAATAAATCAAATAAGATTTTTTAAAGACGCCTTGTTTTGATTTCATGTGTTCTTTTATTTGTTGCATTTGGCAAACAAAGTTCCCCGGTATTTTTATTCGGAATCACGTAAAATGTTCATTTCTTTTCATTCCCAGTTTGCAATGGCTTGTTCTTCGCTGGGTTGCTTGTCTTTCGGTTTTATTAAATTGCTCCACAAAAGCAAACCACCAACCTACCGCAGCACCAGACTGATAAGTAGACTCGATTATTAAGGAATTATCATGGAAATGTCTTTTGTGTAGGTCTTATGTAAATTCTTTGAACAAGTGGAACATGAATACCAATATTACAGGGTAAAGTTTTGCCTTATTAGTTTCGATGTAACTGAAAATAACTGCCATTTTTTGTTGTGGATCGGCTTTCCGAAAAGTTTGATTTGGCTACATTCGCCTGGGAACTCATGACCTTTGTAAACAAACCGACTGGCAGATTAAACACCTGTAAATCCCCACTTCAAAGGCAAACCACCCAGAACAACAATAGGAACAACAACCACCCACGTACAGTGGGCACATTGGGTGGAACAGTGGCATGAATTTGTGCCGCTGAATTCCCACCGGATGTTAATGTTTTATTTGGATTTAAAATTTTCTGCTCGCTGTTTTTAATGGAGGCTGATTTGTTTGGAAGAAAATAAACAATTTGAAATTTATTTAGTTGGGGATCTAGGGATTGCAGGGAATGGAATGCCATGCGATACCATGTGAGGCTGCTCTCCCGCATTTTATGGTCGAATGAAAATTGCTAGTTGCCATAACTTGTTGAAGTTTATGCCTGTTTATCGATCTTATGGCCGCTTTCAAAGATTATGCCCCCAAGTTCATTCCCCAATGCGAAGTTTGGCGTGAGTCACCCTCTCCTCTCCCCCTTCGGTCACCACCTTTTGAATATCTTTTGTAGTCCATAGAGTGACCTTGAGGACGCTGAGCCGCAATCAATCAAGCGAACAAAATGAAGGGGGTGGAATAGGGGAAGAAGCATCTTGCAACTTTCGCCTCTGTGGAGGCAACAAAAAAACGTATCTCACGGATACGGAGAGAGATTCTGAGGCATTTGTATCACCTTGTCAATCACTCTCGGGGAAAAGCGGAAAATATAAAAATGGGGGAAAAGAAAATGCTGAGAACCACCTCCGAAATATGTGGGTCAAGTCTGCAATGTTTTGCGCGTATTGGATGTCATATTTCCCGCTGCCTCTCTGCGCAGACATATTTTCCTTCTTTTTTTGACCGATCTGTGATTTTCTTTTTCCGATTTTCAGCATCGAATTTGTTTACCCTACATTTTAAGTGATTAAGGGTGTATTAGACTGCTCAGGCGTTTGATTATAATAATTTTCCAAAAGCAGATTGGGACGTAATTTTTCAAATGTTAAAGGCATTTCCTTCCTTTCCTTTTGCGGGTAAAATGTCTGGTTACCTAACTTAAAATCACTATGACTAAAACTAATTTTCTACCGCAATATCACGTTGTGTGGTATAGGGGCAAGGGTATTAGAGGAGTCAGAACTGGGCTCCCTGTTGTCGATTGTTTTCGTTCCTCTTTTTTTCGTGGCACATGCGCGCGATTCGAGTCCGGACAATTTGACGCTGTACTCACGTACGTCGTATGGCGGGGCATTAAAATTAAATAAATATATAAAAATTTCCGGCTGCATTTGGCAGAGTCAAACAATCCAGAAATTTAAATTCAAATCGAGGAGAGGCCCGCTCACCATCGCCAAAATTGGCAATTTTAATTTGATTTTGTGACCGTTTAAGATGCTGATTGGGGGATGTGAGGCTTAAACAGCAACCCATTCGCCAGGTACCTCTGAAGGTTTTGTCAAACTATTTAGCAACTATTATCGTTTATAGGTGGCCAAGGGGTTTTGCGTTTGGTTTGGTTAGAGGGAAGCCCGGCTGGCTTGTTTATTTGAAAAGTCTTCCCTGCTTGACTTCCTCTCTGAAGAACAATTCCCATACAGTGGCGAAACTGTTTTCCTCTTATCAAAAGAAGAATATTTCGTCGCGAATGCTTTTCCTAAAACAGCAACAAACCCTTGCAACGCTGAGAGAAAGCTTGTCGAAAAGAGAGAAGTTCTCGGAGAACAGAGAAAATGTTACGGAAGTGTGTAACATGGCAAAAGCTCTTTTATAACATTTTCCTTATAGATTCTATGGGTCAAGGGGGTTTATGGTGGCGGGACCCACCCGGATTCGCAAGACTAGGGCGGTGGCTAAATTGCGGGAGGGTATCATACTAGAGCACAGAACTTGAAAGAATAATTTTGCCTACAATTATTTCGAATTTTAAATTTTGTGGGACTGAATTATTTACGTTTTCCCCAAGCTTAAAATAAATTCCAGCAGGTTATGCGAAACTTTTACCCTATTTCACCCAACTTGGCCTTTGAATACGCCACTGTTTGCTGTTTAGTATAACAGTTTTGCTTTGAGTTTTTCGTTTATTTACAATTTGACATTTTGCAAGCGTA